AACAAAAAAAAAAATTAATAATAATAATAATAATAATAATAATAATAATAATAATAATAATAATAAATAAGACCTGGACAACATAACATAATTTAAGACTTAGGGCCTTAATTTAGGAACATGCAATTTAAGAACTTTTAAGACTTTTAAGACCCCGCAGCTACCCTGCTTGAATGTTTACTCTTTATATTGTGTTTTTAAATGCAACTGCTGGTAATGTGAAGTTTCTGACATTTATTCCTAAGCTCTAATGTACACTGTTGAAAATGTAGCTCCAGATCCCGATGGGGATATCTAATGGCAACAAAAAAGGAGGCAACATATTATGAATCCATTTATCACAGTTACCCAACCCAACAGTATAATAATTGAACAGAATTGTACTCATCATCCAGTACATTTTGTCCTCTGTGGTTATGGGGGCAGGGGGTAATCGAACTTTTTTTCATTTTTAAATCAAAGTCTGTAATGGATAATGGCAAGTACATACAGTGCCTAACATTTGACTCTAAGATAAAAGGTTAAATCACTAAAACTATTATAACTGGGACATCCTGCATCTTAACCATGTCAATTAAGAACATAACTGAGGAAACTAAGTCTAAAAGAAAATAATTACTACTTTCAAAATGCCATGAGTTTGCTTTTGTGATTTCATATATAATGAAAACCTTTGTAATTACTAATTGGTGAAAAAACTTTGTGAACTTCATCATCTTCTAAGTCTTTGAACATGTGCAAAAAATATTATGTGAAACATAACAAAAAGACTGTCTCTAGCACATGTCAAAGCGACCTCAGTGCTTTCAGATCAGGTTGTTAGAGACATTTGCAGGAAGAGAGTGGATCAACTTTTCAGCCAAGCAAAATCAGTGGAACAAAAACACCAGTCAGTCTGTAAACCCCATTTGGGAAGTAACAGCATATTTGATTATCAAACTTGTAAGCACAAAATATGGACAAATAAATGATAATTTTTCATATAACTGGAAAGTGACAAGAAACTTGGGATTTTTAAATCTTTTTTTTTTTTTTTTTTTTTGCTGTTGACCCTTTGTCAGAACTGAATTTCTGTGATTAGAAATGCTATTTAAACTTGCCTGTGGCTAGCACATTTTGGTGTTAAAAATTTGCAATCAACAAACTATTTCATTCTAGGATTTCAGATTGAGAATTGTCAAATCTTGAACGGGATTGGTAGAAATCTGTCATATTTTTCATAACCAAAATTCCTCAATCACAAATTATATACACAAAAGTTAAGACAGCCTAGTTAGTCTTCATTCCAGTTAGAAAAAAAAATCCCATTCACAATATTGTCCATATTTCTGCACATAATCCTCTTATTATAACTCAGTTTTGTCTGATAGAAATAAATGAACTTCAGACTTCAACAGTCCAAGTACACTACTTTTCTGCTCCACATTCCCAATTTATTAGCACTTAAATTTCATTTATACTTCTAAAAATACAAGTTGAACACCAGCAAGGCACAAAGTAAGATGGCATCTTCAGCCAATCCCAACAAAGAAATACAGATAAGGAAATAAATGAGAAAGCACAAAAAGCAATAATGTCATCTTGGTTGTGCAGTTTTTATATTATGAAATGACGCCATTAGCCAGACATGTATAACTCATCTCTGAAAAGTTAATAGCAACTCTTATCTGTTAATATAGCCCGAGTGAAGTCATTTGTTCTAATCACATCTGCAGATATATAAAGTCATAAGAGTAGGGGGGATGGGAAACATGTTATGGATTTGTCTTTGCGAATGTTGAGGTGAATCACCGTCCTTCTGGCTCTGACCAAGTGGAACGAACACATCAGCAAATACGGTTTCGAAAGCCCGTCTCTTAGCCCTATGCTTACACTAATGTGTGGAGCGTGAGAGGGCCCATGTGAATACTAATGTAGTTCAGTACCTGACATAGCCTGTTGGATAAGCAGCTTGAACGTGCATATCAAGCCAAACATGCACAGTACGAGAATAGGGCTGCATAAAAGATCATAACCCAATCGAAATCACAGTTTGAGTTGGCACAATTATCAAAGGGGCTGTAATTATTTTGATAATAAAATGTCCTCTACAAAGAAAAAATATATCCTGTGTTTTTATGGAAAAATCTTGTTGAACATGCAGTTCAGACCGACATGTCCTGAAATTCATGGAATTCTTGTATTATTGTTTATCGAGTTCATATTTCAGCCTTCTCTCTAATGTTAATGCTCCAGCAGTTGTTTAAAGTGTGAATTTGAATAGAATCCTACTTTTTAAAACATATATTACAAATAGAAAACACTGGTTCCAGGAGTAACTTTTCCCCTATACTTAAAAAAAAAAAAGAAATATTAAGAGTTCAAAGGTATCGTGGAGGCTAACCAGCGACGTGGTAACTAATATCCATATCGTAGTTGTCCAAAAAGCACATTTAAAATGCAAGATTCAGCTAAATGTTTTCATAAGATTTTTCAATTAAATTATAGGTGTTGTGGTCATGCTGTTTTAAAAAATTTGATGTTTGTTATTTTGTGTACAAAAATATTTTCAAAAGCCAAATCAGTTAGTGCAATAGACAAAATGATTCCTTTTCCTTGATCAAATCCATCAACTTTCATTGTAAATACCTGTAAACAATGTAACAAAAAGGGCTAAAAATAACAAATTAATTCCATTAGATTTATTTTATTATTTCTTTTTATATAATAGTATTGCCTGGTATCCAGAATGATCGCTGTCTGTATTTTTTAGATTGATATCTCAGTCCGGTCCCCACGCCCTCTGTCATGTCTCAAGCTCAGACAAAAATGACCGTGCAATCAGATTTGTTTTTTCAGTGATGCATGTGAAACGAAAGAGCTCATTGGTCACCCATCATTTACGAGCAAAAGCGAATGAATCTCACCACAGATTTCAGTGCTTGGCTCATTGATTCTGGTGAAATCCGCAATGTTTTTCAGCCCCCTGTGACAGACTATGAGTGTCCCTGAATTGCTAATCCACCTGTCAATCATGCTTATTTGAAAACGTGACCAGACTCATGTCTCCATAAAGTACTGAAGAATAAAGTATATGTATTCTATCTGGAACCAGGCAAACCGAATTATTTATCATTGTTGTAGACTTGCAGGTTGAGCTATCTTACTAGGACTAGTCACAATAGAGACACATAGTTTAACATCAGATTCCAATTCTGTAGATGTCTTTCCACAATGTCATAGTTTCCTTTTTTTCTTTTTGCAGTGGCTGATCTGGTGTTTTGAAAATTTAACCCACACCCTCTAAGTTGAGCAAATACACAGCCAACTTTTGTATTTTATTCGTGATGTTCCTGCACAGACACTGACTGTAAGATTTAGTTGGAACTTTATAAAATGGCATGTTGCTTCCAAGAAATCTTTTGTTGTTGTTTTTTACCTGAAACTACAGTCTTTAGTGCTACAATTAAGACTGGCTTCCCTTTTCATCCTTAACGGGGAATTTAAATGGTAATGGCAGTATCAAAACGCAACCTCCCTGCACCAGACCGGTAATTTAAAACTGTTTTTTGTGCTCCATTTCAAGAGCAAAGAGGAGCTCGTCTGATTACGAAGGCAATTAAAGAGCGCCCTCTAGTGATTAGCGTCTGAAGTGTAATTTGTCATCATTGGCTCCAGAGCAGAGCAGCAGCTGTTGGTTATTTGCACAACGTGGAAAAATAATGTAAGTCTGTAGAAGACTCATTATATAGACCAAACAAACTCACAGACAAAACAGAGTTGCATAAGTACTGAGGGTAAACTGCTATTTTAGACAACATTGCTGGTGCTTAGGTAACAGTCATAGGCCTATTATAATATTTGTTACCAAATTTAACTTTAAATTCCAGATATCTTATAGCTTATTGTCGACTGTATTTACAAAAAGTAGAGAGCAGTAAACATAAAGAAAAAATACAATGAATGAGATCATGTCCAAACTTTTGACATGGCAATGTATATGCAATGTGAAACACCTGGAATTTGTTTGGAGGATAAGCTCCTTGAGATGTCTTGCCATCTCGTTTTTGAGGTGGTCCTCATAGTCTCAACAACAGAAGACAGATACAGTAGGGCAGACAGTAGACTAAATAACAAAAACTAAGACAGAGTTCAAATATAGTTAAAAATACAATACAAAAATACAAAATACATCAAGATGATCAAAAACAATTAAGGTTAAGTAGCTAAATATAACACCAAAGCATTTTTAAATGAAGGGACAGAAGTTATGCGCAAATCAATGAGGGATATTTAAATGAGTGTTTTCTGATTCTTGAGACAACAAAAAATATCTGATCTGCGTGGTGTAAATTGTAAGCGGATCTGAATGGAATTAAAATACTGTATGAGATATTCAGGAAAACAATGCATTTAAAGATGAATAATAACCAGTGGAGTTGTAGATAATACTTTACATATTCCATTCTAAGTAATAATTTCCCCATACTCAGACAGGCTGGAAAGTTATGGTGCAACTTGTTGTTCAAATTAATTAAGTGTTGGCAATGATGAATGAGAGGAGTCTGAGTAATGCTTCAGTTTATGTCTATGTGCCAGGCAACCACAGAACTATAATAAAATCTTAATATAGATCCATGCGGGTAAAAGAGAAGGTTAATGAACATGATTGGCAAAGTGTTCCGCAAGTGAAGTCTGATTTGAATACAGAAAAGGATCTCTCTGCTGCTGCACGACGTTTTTGTGTTAACATTGCTATTCATCACACTGTACAAAACAAAAAAAATTAACCTATGTCATCGTTAAAACTGAAATGAAATGGAAAACACACACACACAAAAGTACTCACACTTTTCCCCTTCAATGTTCTTTTTATGGTTCTCTTACGCACGTTCGAGGCACTTTGGCAAGTTGTTTGAGCGCCACCTAGCCTCCAGGAGAAGACGTTTTACTTATATATATAACCATCTTTTTTCTATTTATTTTTTAGCATAATTAAAAAAAACTTTATCTCGGCTTTTACTTTGAAAAATAATAAACCGGAAATCCCTTTTTACTTTCGTTTTTAGAGGAGCAGCGGTGACATCCAGCTGTTCTTGTAAAGCTGCTCAGAATGGCGCAGGCCCTGCAAAAACTGGTCGCCAAAGTTCCCAAGCTGGTCATTGGTAAGATTTTTGTACAATAACTTTGTATAAAGGCATACCAAAACAAAAACGAAATGACATCGAGAAAGCCTCTGTACAACCTCTATGACCTCTACTCAGGTGCAGCTGGTCGATTCTCATTGTCATTTAGTGAAATAACGAAGACATAACTTTTTAAACTATAAATTCTCTATTTGGTATTCGGGTATGCTTGTTCATGTAGCATAGGCAAAGATTTATGAATAATCGTCAGTGTGGCCAGTGAAAGTTTTATTACAAGAGTCCCAAAGTTTCAGTAATAAGCTACTCTTATTCTTAGTCATTCAGACCTGTTATTTATGTTATTTATCATGTAACCAAGATATGTTCCTATTGCATGAATTTCTATGTGTTTGCCTACATTTGGGGAAGTTAAAATTTTGTCTAAAGATCACTAATTTGATGTAAAATTGTATAATTGTAATGACTGTAGTAGTGACTAGATATTCAGTTACATGGCCTACATAAGTGTGACACATTGTCTTTACCACATTTAATCACTCTCACTGGAATTAGAAATTACAAAGACCTGCATGGATTTGTCAGTGTTGGGTAAAATGTCTGCAGGTTATAAACAAGCACTCTGTTTTAAATAGCATGAATCACTATTCATGTTGCTGTCATGTATGAATTATCCCCAGGCTGCTGAGTCTGATTGATCATTCCTGTCATTTCAGGTGCAGTGACATATGCTAAACCTCGGCTGGGGACTTTCTGGTACTACGCCAGAGTGGAACTGGTGCCTCCGACTCCGTCTGAGATTTCTAAAGCCATTGAAGCAGCAAAGGGTCTCGTCAAGAGCTACAAGGCCGGACGTGTAGGGCAAACAACAGTCAAAGTGAGTTTAATCAGTAGCCTTAAGCTACTGGAATGAATATTTTTCACAGCTTGTTGGTGTTTATGCAATGTTACTATATTATATTAATGTGAAGGCCATTAATTTAATTATCTCCATCTCACAAAACAGAGCAGGGGTTATTTGACAAAATATAAACTAAATGGCATCTAAAATAAGAATAAACTTGACTTAAAACAAGCATAACCAATACATATTATATCTATTTCAAAATCAAAGTAAGTTTTTTTCTGCCATTGTCAGTGAACAATGTTCACAAACTGAAAACTTGTTTCTGTGTTATGATGCAACAATAAACAAAGAATAATAATATAATATGATACAATTTATACCAAAGGGAATTTTTTTTTTCATTACAGAAATGCGGCACAAGAAAAATAAAGAAAACTCAAATTAAATATCAGCACCATAATAAAAAATTAAATTCAGTAAATTTGTATTTTCTTCTTGGCTAAAGCCCAGGTGAAAATAACATAATATAATTTTCCATATTGCTTGTGCTTTCTAGGATGCTTTGAGAAATGGACTTGTCACAACTGAAGTGTTGATGTGGTTCTACATTGGAGAGTGCATCGGCAAAGGAGGGCTGGTCGGATATGACGTCTGAATCACATGAATGATCATTTGTACACATGCAGTATATATATATAGCAAACTGTGCAAATAAATTTTATAGAGAATTTTATCACAAATCGAGATAATGTTTTATGTCAAAATCACATATTTAATGGGGTCACTAGAAAACACGTCTATTCAGGGTTAGTTACAGATTTGACCATTTCTTTACATAATAATCGACATCTCCTCTCGCTCCCTACTCTCTGACATAGCTTCCACAACTTTTCCTAGATATCTGTTGAAGGCTTTCCTTACATCTTCAGGCTCATCCTCCAAATTGGACTTTATCAGTGGAAATCTGTTCAGAGGCGAGGCTGCATTACGGAAAGGTTGAGAGACAGTTAAATTAAACATATTCACTCAATGACTCAAAATAACCTGTGATTTTTACCTAAGGAAATGTGTCCCCTCTCTGCTCCACTGCCTGGTTTGTTGTGAGCTATGAGCAGACACTGATTTTCCTGTAAATTATGGGTGGAGATGAACATTGAATGCCATGTTTCAATTTCCTTGAGGTGGCTTGGGACGTCAGGATTGAACACAATTACCACACCATTGCAGTCTTTCATGAATATAGGCCAGCATGATTCAAATCTATAACAAGAAGAAGTTATTAAGGGTTGCACAATATATTACAATTTATTGCAAAGGATACAATTTAGATAGAATATCTTTTGCAAAGAACAAAATATTTTTTCTTTATTGAAGAGTCAGTTGCAGAAACATTCATGGGATTCTTGGATTAATTTATCATCTGATATTTCAGTTGTGTTAATGCTCCTAGAGTTGTGCTCCCTCAGCAGTCCTATTATTTAAAGATAAAGCAAATCTAATCGCAATTTAATTTCCCCCCTCCCAAAAAACACAACAAGTGCAGATAAACAGATGTATCTACTGTTGAGCACTTGTGGACTTTGAAATGGATTGATGAACACATCTTTCAGAGTACTCTCTTAAATGTAACCTTTTATTAAAGAATCACAACGTGGTAGGAGTAACAGTAGTAGCTGTAGTACAGTGTAATTAGCAGTAATAAAATCCATAACACAGAACTATTAATGAAAATAGCAAGAGGTGCTGGTAGGCATGGTAGTTGTATAACAGAAATAGTTGCAGTTCTTTCTATTTATTAACTTTACGACCTACTTGAAATCTCCAGAACAATCCCAGAGCTCGACCTTGCAGTCTCTGTTATCACTACCTCCTTCTAAAGGGCACTCAAACTCCAGGATCCTGAGGAGAGCGAATGAGTCCATTGTAATGACGTCCTAAAAACAAAATGTAAATCTCAAATGCACTCTTACCTTACTCCTACTGTAGGTTTGTATTCGCCTCCCACGTTTTCTGATATGTCTGATAGGAAGTTAGCCAGAACTGTTTTTCCACTCTGAAAGGCAGAAAATACACACATCCCCGGTTAGTAAAGTTAGCACGCGAGCACAGAGCAGCAATGTTCGGCTGTATATAATAAGCTGGGAAAGAACCAAATTAGCTCTTTGGCACTGTTTGATTACTAATAAAAGTTATATACACACAGACGGAGATGGACATACTGTTTACTTACCTCGGTCGGGCCAATTAAGACTATTTTGACATGCATTTCTAGCCAGGGACCGCTGCTATCGGTCAGTCCACCTTTAACGCGATGTTGAATCCATGCAACTATCCCGATGAAATAAAGAAGAATAACTCCTTGTTTACTATAAAATCACGGGTCGCTTAATATTATGCAATGAATATGCTTCGTAAAAATGACTTAAAAAAGGAATTTATGGTAGTTTACCAGTTTTCGCCCAAGCCTAGCTTAGCATCGCAGTAAACTTCCTGGTTGTTTCCATGGTTTCAGTGAAAGGGGCGCTTTCTCATTGGCCACTGTAAATGTCAATCAAGTTATTCCCGCCTTTAGATAAGGTAGAGCCAATCAGCGGCAAATAAATACACACACGCTTCAGGTCCAACCAATCGAGTTCATCCATTTAAAAACGAAAGCGACCAATCCAAGCAGAGGGCTCTTGAGTTTTGCGTCTGCTACAATCGACCCTTGCGGAGGTGTTAACGTAAGTAATGTAGTTTTTAACGGTATTGTTCAATGAGTTAAGTTAACTTGTCAAACATACTAGCGCATATTAAACTTTGCATGATATTGCGGACAGAATTGATTTTCGTTGAATATGACAAAAACCTGAAATCACTCTAATAATGTTGTTGCCATGGTATAGGTTTGCAATGCTTACAGGACATCATAGACTCCTATGGTCCTGTGCATGCACTCCGACTATGTAACGCTAGTATAAGACAGTTATATTGTAACTTGGCCATTTCCTGTGCTACTTCTTAGTTTGTTTACAGTTACCGCCGCAGTTATGTCCCCGGAGGATCGCCAGAGTCCTACTCGTGGTATCGGCAAGTCCCATGGGGAAGACGCCCCTCTGAACTGTGGTGATCTGGACACCTCCCCAGAGGAAAGGAATTGGGCTAAAACACGCTCAACTCTTCAGCCCAGGTGGATTAAGGAAAAAAGTGAAAAATAATAATAACAGTATTTAGAAATAGGTAAAACAAAGCAAAACAAATATGAGATAATACCGTGCTATTTTTTCTATGATTATTAATTCAGTTTATTCACACTATGCGATCAAGGAGATTAAGTACATAGAAGAACTAAGCCTTTTTTTTTTTTTTTTTTACAAACATGAAAATTATGCATTATGAAGTTCTGATTTCATTTTTAGTCATGGAGAGAGCCACTTTCTCCAAATGCTCATGGATGCTGAATCTGCTGCCAATGCTGCTGCTGCTCAACTCGTCTCTTTTAAAGATGCTCTGGACGATGAAACAACAGTGAGTGGCTCAAGGGCAGACAGATCCCTTAAAGCATTACAGCTTAGTTTAAAGGTAATGGTATAAAACATGTTTCTTTGAGGCTTCCAGACAGACAGCACATAAAAGCAGAATCACACGACAGAAAGGGCTTCTTCTGGAGAAACTGGATGACTTTCGACATATAAATAAATCTGTTCGTCAGACATTGAAACAACTCCAACAAGCAGAGGTTTGCTGTCTTTCATTTTGTAATTTTTACTGACACTGTGCATGGTTTATATAATGCTGGTTCCAACAGTTATAATTGTTTTAATGGAATTCGTAGTTATTAACTTGCATGATTCCACAGAAAGCAAAAGTTAAAACAATTATTTAAAACGTTCTTTGTGTACATTTTATGCCATATTGTGGAATATTATAGCCAAAGAAACAGCATTTCCATGGAAACAAACCCGCTCATAGTAAGGATAGTAATAACAACAGCAACAAAACTTCAAAACATCCTTTTATTTTGTCTTTTTTTTTTCTTTTTGGCTAAAAAGTATTATTAAATTTGTACTATCTGTGTGTTTTAGGCTGAGCAGGTGCATGCAGACAAACAAGTTCACAATCTACTGATGAGGATTTCAATGGCTGAAAATGAAAATGAGGTACCCGTTGGAGATTTACTTTTTTTTATTTACTGCAGCTTACAAATATGGAATACAAGCATATTGCACATTCTGATTGTCACATATATACTGTTTCTTAAAGGTTTTAAAAAAGGATTTATGTGAAATGGGAAAAAGACTTGAAGAACTGAGGGATCAGAGAAAAGAAGAGCAGGTAGATCTATTACAGCGTTGATTTCTGTCTTTGAGTCCATCACTGCTTTTGTTAAAGTGTTGACTTTTATTCCCTTCAGGACTACACCAAAAGTGCAGTCAATTTTACCAAATCAGTTGAGGCGACGCGTGCTCACCTTCAGGGCCAGCTCCGGAGTAAAGAGGCAGAAAACAACCGTCTGACTGTGCAACTGCGGGTACAAAACAACACTGCAAAAATGAGAAATCAAGATGTGTTAAAATTACATGTTTACAAATAATGACTTACTTTTCAATCATGGGGTAAGTCTGGTCAATATGGAGATGAAGGAAACTCTTTTCTCCTATTGGTTAGCCTGTTTCTACTTGTCGGTCAATAACAGTGAAGTATGTCCTCTAAGTAGAAGCATTTGACCTTAGTGACCTCTTAGACAATTTATGTATAGTTCAATGAGTTTTCACCAAGTCTAGTTTTTTTGCAGCACAGATTTACCCTTGGAATAAATAGTTTTGTGATACTATTAAAGACTCTCCAATTGTGTTGGGGCTGCAGACTTTGGAGCGGACAGTGACTCAACAGAGGTTGGAGATGGAGGATTTGAAAACTTCGTTCACTGCGCTGAGAGAAAAAGCAGCACAGGATAAAGAGGCGCTGAAGAAGGCCACCCGGGCACAAAAACACAGGGCTGAGCGTTTCGAGGCAGCAGTGGAAAAGTGTTACGCTCAGTTGAAGGAAAAGGTGGCTCTTTCAAAATCCAGCTCATACTGATATATTTAATTTTAATTTAAAAAAGTGGAATATGATAAAACTTTTAAATTTTGCATTAGAAGTGTTTTCAATGGATTCCTTTATTTTGAGTATAATGCAGACATTACACACATTTTATGAGCTTCTCTAATTTAACTGATGAATAATTCTAATCCATTCATTGACATCATAACTGGTGCACTTATCGGTTGCTATTTATTAATTTGCTTTTGTGTATTTGTAGGAGGCAGCGCTTACCAATGCCCGTCTTCAAAGAGACTCCAAGAAGCGCCAAAAAGAACTGATAACGGACGAGAAAGACAAACTTATTTCTCAGATAACCTTTTTAAAGAGGTTGGTGATAGTCCTTTATTACAGCAATTCTAAAAATGGATGTCACTTTGAGTTAAACTACCTACTATGTAATATTTTGTCCATGATGTTTCCATAATTTTAAATCAAGCATTTCTTTTTTGCAGCCAAATTATAGAGCTAAATGCAAGGCTACTGAAGGAAAGGGAGGACCTCACTACTGCCAATGAAAGCATGATGCAGAAGATCCAAAAGCTCACAGCTGAAAACGGAGACCTCAGCTTCAATAATGCAACACTCAAGGTACAACAGCATGTCTGACAGTCACATGTGAGAGAGCCACTGTAATTTACACTACACCCTTATTTAAAATTAACACATTTAATTGTAGCCTATTTTGAAACCAGTTATTTTCAAAATGTCCTACTAATACTGTGATCTTTGCAGTTCATGGCATAGTTATTATACTTTAGGTTAGGGCTCACCAAACTTTTAATTAGTTCAATGTTCAGCTTGGGTCTTATTCACCGAGAGGTCCACTCAGACGTCTAAGCATGTGGTATGCCAGAATTCAGACATTAGAGGAACAAATTTCACTTTAACCCTTTGAAAACAAATGACTTTCTATATTAATTCCTGAATATAAACATATAGACTTTTAATCATTGCTATCTAACCGAAAAATATAACATTTTCTAGCCCTAAAGTCTGAACTCTGCTCCAAACCACAAGCTTTTACATACAGGATTGGCTGTTGAGCCCTTAAAAAGCCAGAGCTTATCATTGATAGTTAGAAATGACTGAATCTCAAACTCGATTAAAATCCAATTAATTGCATAACCCTACTTTGTTTCACAACGCAGATTATAAGGGACGCGGTGCCCTTCCTCAGCTTTAGACTCTCTTTTCTGTTTTCTTCTTATTGTCAATCTTATAATGCATTATGACAGAGTCTTTGTTTACACAACAGAAATTAATTCCTTGTATCTCTCAGGCATCTGTTGCTCAGTTGGAGGCACAGCTGGCCGACTGTGAGGCTGCTCTGGTGGAAGAGAAACTTGTGTCTCAAGAGAAAAACCACGAAGCCAAACAATTACAACATCAGGTAGTTAGCACTGGCACCTAACTGGACACATGACAACACAAAACATATGAGATGCTAACTAACAAGAACAAGAAGGAACAAAAAAAAAATCATGAGACTTTTTAGTTAGTGTTTTCTCTAGTGTGGTTAAACTTATATTTTGAAATAAGACAGTTGCATCCCATGAAAGAGCAGTTTTTCTTCTGCAGTAAAAACATTATTGCAGTATTAACCTATCTCTAAAGATGTTAATTCAAGACCTTTTGTTAAACGACAGAGTAATGGCTCCAGTTTTTCATCATTCTAAAATCCTTGGAACCAGTTGGTTGAATGTCTCTCCTCAGAGCCCACTCTTCATCCTCATTTCGCACAGTTCATCCTCCTATTTTATGGGAAAATACAAAACATTAATATTTGCACACAGTTAAATTGGAAAATAGAAATCTGTAGTACATCAGTGTATCTTTTCTTTGATTATGACAAAACAAACCACCTCTAATCCATCTTTTTCTTCACAGGTAGAGGATCTTAAAGCGGAAATTGCTAAAACAAGAATGCTGCATGCTGGTGTTTTAAAGCAGATAGAAAGCATTCAAGATGGGAGAGAGGCAGGAGTTGAAAAGGTAATATTTATGTCTTGATTGATTGAAACAATATTAATCAATATTAATTAATGTTGAATTGTATGTGGAATATTTTTATGAGCCAATTGTTTGGGGGTTGATGAAATGGTTAATAATAATAATACTTGAATTATATAATAACAATAATAATATTATCTTGAATTAGCATTAGCAATGTCTATATTTCATGTTATGTACACAGCTGGAACTACTTATTATTTTATTTTTAAATAATTATATGTAAAGCAAAGTAAAGAATTATATAAAAACTAAAAGACTATTTAAGCTGCTCTCATATTGATTTTGAAAAAAATATATGATGAAGAGAGCTGTTCAAAAGTTATATTTGTAGATTTTACGATCTTTAATAACAAATCTTGTTACTTATTCTTTAATTGCTTGTTATAACTCATTATTTTTGTTCACTCCCACACATGTGGCTCTGTGGGGTGCCTTGCTCATGGGCAAAGGTGAGGCAGGAGCTGCAGGTTCGTGTTGACGGTCTGAAGTCGTACCCACAGTCTCTGAGTTCAGCCAAACACAGTCTCCGTCAGTGTGAGGAGAGGCTGCGACGCTGTGAAATGAAGTGTGCAGAAAAATCAGAGTCCATTAAGCAGCTACAAGCCAAGGTTTAAAAATGAGTGCTATCCATCTGTCCACTAGGCTGTAGTGATCTCCCCTGTGTGCATTTAGTTTGAGGGATTGATGTGGATTGGATTGCAGTGGAAATATTATCATTATTTACTGGTATTTACTGTTTACTTCAGTGTGTTTGAATGCTCCTTTATATTTCACTGGGAGACTGCTGTCTGAATGGAGAATGGTTGTCTTTATTCCCCAAAATACCTTAAACAAGCATTCTGACCGTGAATGAGGACACCTTTCAACAGATCCGGGGTCTCATTTATAAAGCTTGCTTGCACACTACGCATTGCAAACTACGGGATTAATGAAACTCCTCCTAAACGCAGTGCCTTGCTCATCTCTACGGCAGCTAGGACCCTGCCATATGCTCTGGAGACACGAGGGAAAAATGTTTGATCAGGTCGCATGTTAATGCCAGTTTTGATGTAGTCTGAGTCTGAGTAGAGTGAGAAATTATTACAGATAAATAATTTAATGTGAAAGATTGTGTTTGAAAAGTTTATTTTTTTATTGATATATCATTTATATTAAGTCTTTATTTTTTTACATTTGGATGCAGTTGATTTGTCTGTCTCAATTGATGTCGCAAAAGGACATACACTGGGCAGAATTTTAAAGAAGTACAATTCAATACACCATGAAACTGAAAGTAAAAGGAACATAAGAAGTTGTGTGATCTCTCCTCAAAGTATAATCTTGCCTGTGATTTGAAAAGATCCTATCTGCTCTCCTCCTTTTAAATTCATGCTTTATACACAAATTCTAGACTCTGCTTTTTGCACAGATGGAGAGTCAAAGGAAGCAGCTGAGCTCGTCCACAGAGATGAAAGAGTCCATCCATGAGGCCAATTCACAACTGCAGGAGAAAGTTCATTCGATGCAAATGTAAACACATCTTTTAATCGTTCCTATCCTTTTAATTTTTAATGTATATACCTCATTGTGTCATTACAATAGTGTACTGTTACAAATCAACAATAATAATTTCAGCAGGCGACCCCATCTGCTACCTGCTTATTCTGGATTGTTCCACAGTATGGCATTAAACCAGGACAAGTTTCACGTCAGATCTGTGGAGAGGCATTACTGTCTTGTGTAATTGAATAAATGCATGATGGATACATTTGCTGAACACGGAACATTCCAGAGAAAGCTGTAATATCTCCATAGAGACAAGCAGGTGGCGAACTCCGAACCAGAAAAGTTACATTGACCTAATGAACGTTGTGATGAACCTAGCAGTAGACTTGTTTTAAAGATGACACAGTAGTGTTTTTATGTCAGTTCTATTTGCAGATTTTTGTTATATAAGATGTGCTCATAATGTTGCATACCTTCAAAACAACCATTTTAATAATTTCTTGAACACAATCATTTATAGAGCATTTCTGCCAGTGAAACCTCATCATGTCAGAATCACACAAAGCTTCATTGTGCTGTCAGTGGATGGAGCGGTGTTCTTGTTAGCTGTTTTTGTCGTCTAACTGTTGTGAAATTTAATCTGTGCAGGGCGATGGACAGTTTGCAGCAGGAGAACACAGAGCTGATCCAGAGGTTGGGTCGTCAGGAGGAGGCTGTGGGCATCAGTAACAGACAACTGGACCAGCGCTCGTCTGAATGCCACGCCCTCAGCCGCCAGCTCGACTCCGCTCTGTCTGATGTCACACAGCGGGTAACAGCAACACTGGCACACTTTTATTACTCCATAGAAAAAATTTAGTTATTTTGATTTTGTGTTTCCATACTATATACATGTGTTTTCTTCAGTATGAACAATGCATGTACAGTGACAAAATAACATACACTTCACCTTAATGTCCCACTCCAGTAATGGATGGCTGTATGCAGAAAGAATATGCAATTATTATCCTCCTGATTGACTCTGGCGACTCTGAATCAATAACGCAATTAGCCATAAGAAATGTAAGAAGTTGCCCACTTTATTTCCCCTTACTAAATGGCAACTGTGTATTAAATATCAGTTGAAAGTATACAAACATTTCATTCAACATAGTTGCATACCTGTCTACGAAGTTTCTGCAGTGACCATGTACTGTATCTATGACAGAAATATATTAATAACAAAGCAAGTAGGAATGATGTGCAATTTGCTTTTTATTTTTCAGGTCAGCAAAGTTAAAAACCAAGCTGCTGCTCGGGAAGAGGCTCTTCAAACCAAGATTTTGGAGCTAGAGGCACAAATATGTAGAAGAGAAAAAGAACTCAGTCTACTGCGACAGAGCAAGATAACCGTAAGTATTGCTCTTAAAATAATTGCCATAAAAATACTTTGAACTCATTATTTATGTGAATTTACAGGCAGAGAAGCAGTTTGAAGTACGTCTGAAAGATCTCCAGTGTAGCTTGGACAAGTCTGAGAGCCACAAACAGAGCATTCAAAACTATGTGGACTTTCTAAAAAACTCTTATACAACAATGTTTGATGAAGGACTGCAGGCAACGTGTTTTACTTCATCCTATTTTCTAAAATGACATACCTTAGTTTGCATCAGTAATTTACTATAATATTTATGACTACTTGATCAGCTGTGAATAAGGTAATGTATCTGTCTAAAGAGGATATATTTAAATTCTGTGATTTGTCTGTAATATTTGATTTTGTAATGCAATGTAATGTAATGAAAACGTTGTGAACTGTGAACTATGACCTGTGGTGCTACTGATTTTAACATACACATAAAAAAAAATTATAATATGGATTAGCCCTCCCATTCACTTTTAGATCTATGGCTATGATTTGTGGGCAGTTTCCTATGTCGACAGTGATTTTGTCAGGTTGTCCCACACAAAAGCTTAATTTTTATCTGTCTTTGCTTGTTTTTCTCTTTCAACACATCTTAAAGGTGCAGTAACTTTTGTGGTGGTCCACATGCTTGTCGCATACTGCTTAACCTGGAATGCTCCATTATGACATTTATTTTTATTTATTTTGAGGTGATTCAGATGTGTTTATAATGCCAGAAAATACCTTGAAAAACAGGCATTGTTATGATGTCTACCTTTAAAAAAAAAAATTAAATTTAAAGGTTTTTTAAAAATCATTATTAAACCCAAACCTGACTGTGTATAAATTCCTTCATTTAATACAGTTGACAGTTGATAAAGTATGTCATAGCTGACAACATGTTCATGTCAACAGAAAAAAACAACAACAAATAAACCTAATTTGTTTAACATTTTTAAGACACAATTTATCTGACCATTATGCCATAGTCATATTAAAAAAAAAACAATAAACTATAGTAATTGGCTGTTAATACGCACTATGTCATGTAAACAAAAAGCAACATCCCATGATTCTTCTTGTAATCATCATGTCTGTCTTGTCAAAAAACCTTAAATACTCAAAAATATTTCACAATATAAAATAAAACGATAAAATAACTAAAAGCTTTTATAAGAAGCAAAATGCACAGCTCCATTGTGTTGAAGCATAACTTACAATCATTTGTAATTATTCTCTAATTTTTGAGTTTGTGGACCTCATTAAATACATTATACACAGAAGTTGTTTCCGAGCAGTAATGGTCACACGTGCAGGACTGGATCAACATCACCATTCGAGTTACAGTCGCTCCATTTTTACACTTGAAAAGCACAGGTTCAGTCTGAGTCCGCTGGGGTCTGCAGCAACGCCCATCTACACAGCTCCCACAGAATCGAACCGGCAACCTCCTCACACTACGGCAGCCATCAAGGAACATTCTCACTGGCCTGGAGGGAGTTTGGATCTGCTGGCATTTCTGGCCATTCTGTTAAAGAAAAAATAAAAGCTGCTAAAACTGCATATTAATGGGTTTTAAAATAATGAAAAGTTGAGACCCTTGCAATATAACAGGAAGCTGAAATCATTGAACATTCCATACCAAGGCCTAGTCTTAAGTTTGAATCTGTGGTCAAGCTAAAGGTGCCCTGTTGTTATAGTAATTAAGCAATTAAAATAAAACATATCTACTGAATAGGGAAAGGTTCTCAAAAAATCTTTCAAATCAGGAAAGAATCATTTGTCTGAAACTCATGAATATCAGACATCAAATTATATTGCCCTACATAAATAAATGCATTCTTTTTATTAGTCGGATCTATTGGCACAGTATGCACAAGAAATAATAATTTGAAGTTTTATTAACTGTAAAATGTAGGAAATAAAAATTTAAAAATGTTTGGAAAATCACTGCCTCTGCATTTACTGAATCTGTATAATATTTAACAAGTAAACTGAATCCTCCACTTTTCTAGAATAAACAATAAAAAAAAAAAAATCCTAAGACATTATACCTTAAATGTTTGCACCTTATTCTGTTCACATGGTCGTACTTCACATATCCGAGTCTCAGTCACCATTTTGCATTGAGTTTCTTTGCTAATTGTCAGCCTGGTGGAGACTCCAGTGCCACAAAATCTGGAACAAGAGGACCAGTCTGTGGTCTGGGCTGCACAGTCAAGTTTTGCTGAGCTGTCCAAATTGTAAGTCCTGAAATCTGAAAGACAAATCACCAAAATGAACAATTTATTTTCATTTACAACGTACATCAAAAAAACACCACGGCCACTAACTGGTGAAGTGAATAGTAAGGCACTAATTATTTACGGTAATCATGGATTACAGCTTCTACCAGTAGGTGGTAGTCTAGAGAGTTAAACTTAATGAAACTTGAATGAACGAAATAAAACAGAAGTGCAGCTAGTTATGTTGTTGATGAGGATAAACTGTTGCATGTGGTCAAAAGCTCCAAAAGGTAAACTTTGCGTAATATAAGACATTTAGGAATTTTAGCAGGTTGAGACTGAATTGGATAAGGCAGCTACCACAGTTCAGATTGGAAGCGAGTATATGTTAAGTGTAATGGTCTAACAAGATCCTTGATCAGCTGGAAACAGACGAAGCACATTAGAAATGTAAAACCGTAGATATGTTATTAAGTAAATTTATCATTGTGGATATACAATATATGAAGCTCACCAGGTAAGTTCTCTGTCCACACTGTAGCCAGATTCTTTTCACTGTTAACAAAATGTTCAGATAGCCTTTGCTTTCTCCTGTATTTCTTTATTGTTTTCATCTCTTCTGGACAGACCAGTTGTTCGCAGCATCGCCCGGAGACCTTGACCAGTCTGGGATGGGGGCACCTGTCTTTGGGCAGGGGCAGCTCTTGTGGACATAGAGACACACAACCTACAGCTCCATTCAAACAGGTGCACTGCTGTTTACAGCTAGGTCTGAAGATCTCTCCATTTTGATAAATCTTCTTGTTGTATTCACAGGTTTGGCCATCAGATCTGGCTGTAGAGAACACAAAATGAATTATTAGCAATTACAAGACAAAGTTGTTAGAGGTGCACTGTGTAACATTTCTGGTGGAGGGTCCACCACCTGCTTGTTTCCATGATGTTCTTGTTTTGCTTGAAATATTACATAGTAAGTAATTAACTTGTCTATCTCCACTGGGACAAACAGGAGGAAGTGAAGTTATAGATCAGATCTGTGGAGAGATGACGCTGCAGAAGGGTATTTTTGAGCAAAACACATTTTAATAAATGTAAGATACATGGCATATATACAAGTAGACCTTAACCAATAGGTAACCTAGGTGGCCTATAGCACTTCATGGAGACAAACTGGGGGCTGGTCTTTCTACCAAAAATATCATAGTGCACCTGTGAACAAATCAGAAATGAAATAAAACAAACTATATAACTCAAGACCATGAGGACTGGGATATACTGTATATCACAGGAAATTCAGCAGTAATTATTATTACATAGCTACTTAATAGAGAAGGAATTGAAGTAACTGACAATCACAGAGAATTGTACCTGTCTTATCTTGCAAAGACATACCTCTACAAATGCCCTTATCTGCTGCATATTGCCCACCATAGTTGCACTCCAGTCCCTTGATGTGGTCACAGGGCTCTGTCTCACTGCAGTCTTCATTGAGCTGTTTAGCACACACTTTACAACATCCACAACCATCCGGGACGATACTGACCCCTGATAGACACACGGGTCCCTTAGGTGGACAAAGGCACTTCTGGCATGAGGATGATGATACCTAAAAATGCAATTAAAGGTGCACTTTGTCATTTTATTTTTATTTTTTTCTGATGGATGGTCTGCCACCTGCTTGTCTCCATGTAGATGTAGTTGCTTTTCCTGTAATATTTCACTGTATGCATTAAACGTTATCCATCTCCATAGGAACAAGCAGGCGACATCACTTGGCCAAATTGCGGGTTAGATGTGTAGAGAAGTGACGCTGCTGACAGTAAGTGCTGTATGTACGTTTTCAAATTTATTTGAACAATAATAGCTGTGGGAGATTAAGCAATAACATCTGCATAGACAAGTAAAAAGATAGAAAAGTTACATAGTGCACCTAACAAGTAAAAGGAATTCATTGAAATATATGTATATTGGGACTAAGGCATGTCAAAGGGCTAGTAATATAATATAGCTACTATTAAATTAATAAATGCATGCATAATAACAACTTACCAGTGCAAAATTAAAGATGACAAAGACCAGCACTGTCCACATCTTCAGTAGGAGATGAAGGTTGATTTTTTTTGTGGTAGTAGCAGTAGAGTAGACTGACAATGCACACTCTTTTGGGATGTTCCTCCCCCTTTTATAGTGCACTGTAGCAGTCCTGACGTATACTTGGTCTGAAGAGGTGTCCCGAAACTATGACAGGAATGCCTTGGCAAGTCCTCCCCTTGAGCCCAAAAGCCAGGCCCCTGAAAGTTCTTACAAATGCCAGCCAAGATCCAGCCTACATGACTTAAAGTCAACCACAGTATATAGTAGATGCATGATTCCACTTTGCACACATGTTACATACTGTGTTACAGGTGGAGAGGAACTGGGACAAAATGTTCAAAAATATGTAAATTCAGTTCTGATGTATTTAGTTGAGCAAAACTCAGCATAACAGACTACCTTGGATTAAATAAAGATTTGCATTTGTTTGTCTTGGGAAATGTTTTGTTAAATTGAAACTCATTACCTCCAAACTACATCAGTTTCTGTAACTGTCTGCTGCAGCACTGTTAATTGTAACACCTTTTAAGTAAAGTTGTGAAACAATTATAAGTGTTTTGAATGCTTATACATTATTTTAACCATGCATTATTAGCATGAGCTCGCTTCTCCTCCATATATCTTGCAACTTGACCCCGTGCCACCATCTGCTCATCTCTATGAACATGGACACATTTAATGCCATACTGTGATACATTCTATAGTCAAAGCAATGACATTTCCATGGAAACAAGCATGTGGTGGAGCATGCTCCAGAGAAGTTACGTAGTGCACCTTTAAGAAAGACTCATTCACAATCACAAAGGTACTCAAATATCCAGAGGGACACCTGTGCCCTATAACTGATGGGTTTCATTATCAGCCTGTGCCTGTGTGGGATGTCCCTTAGGATTTGACATACGGACACCAGCCGTTCTCCTGTAAATATTGAAGCTTTACTTTTCTCTGACCGCGGTCCTCGTATCTCACATGAAGCCATGTTTAGACTGAGATCACTGCTGGAATAAGACCCAGGACAGTGCTAAAGTCACACATGAGACTCCTGTCCATCAATGGAGAGGAGGGTGTGCACAGCTACAGTTTGTTTGACTTTTTGTTTGAATTTCTGAGAAATTATGATCATAGTCTTGTGGTATGCCAGAAGTAATCTTGGTATCCTTTGTCCATCTCCACAGAGGGAATAAGCACCACAAGCTCTCCTATTCCAGTCTTAATCATCTATTACCATTTGACTGCCGCTATCTACTACTGACCACTTCCAATATGCTCTTGACAAGGCAATTTTAATTCAAATAATAATTATTTCTGTTACTAGATCTACCACTACTACTTCCACTAAAATTACTATAATTACATTACTACTACTACCATTACTAATATTCATACTACAAATACTACAACTACTACTAATAAAATTGCTTCATCTCCTGCTACTATTACTCTTAACCTTATAAGGCAATAACACTATCCAAGTGTCTTCCACAAATGCTTTTAAAAGTCCAGGTAATTGGTTACTCTCCACAAGACACTACAGATTATGAAATAAAATGAAACAGAATTCAACCTGAGCAATGCCTAGGGCCAAATTCCTATCAAGAACAGCATTGCAGGTTACTTTGAAACAGTTGCCAGGATAAAACGCATCTCCAGCTCTGAACATCAAAGAACAATAGACGTTATCGAGCATCTCCTTTCATTATAACCTGTGAGGACATGAAGAGGAGGGCTGGCAAACAGCTCTGTCTTACCTAACTGATGAGGGTGAGCTTGAAATGGTGCCAGCCTCAAGTTGATGATGGGTGGACAAGGATGAGCTCAGAGCATTGGCAGATGTCTGGAAAATGCTGACTGTTGTGGTCAGTGGAAACTTTAGCCTGTAATAAGAAGAATTTGCAGAACATTGTTAGGTAGGGAGTATAATGGGGGACATGGAAGAAGCAGCTGGGAATGTTGCACAGAGCATGGGCAAGTGTTGTTAAACTGACCGGTTTGTAATTGTTCCACTAAGACAGGTGGCTTTGAGATATCCTCACATGGAGATCACGTCATTGGCCCAGTGCCTTCAGGATTATAAACTATTGAAATAGTTATGTATTTATTACACAACACTTGTTAAAAAGGCAATTACAATGGTGCAAATATGTCACACAGCTGTATTGCAATAGAAAAACAGCGTTTTTTGAACTAAAACACATAGTCCACATTGATCCGTTAGCCTCCATCAGTAGTTACATCCTTTAAGAAGACTAAGCTGATACAATTTTCCATTAATATTAATACATTAATTCGAATGTGTGATGCTATATCTATTGTGAAGGACCACTCAGATGAAAGAAAAGCTATTGCAGTCAAAGACAGAAGCAGGGCACGGTATGTGTTTTTACTCTTTGCCATAAAGAAAAATAATTTAAATATAACTTCACCTGACTGATCAAAATCTAGGCCTATATGTTGTGCCCATGACAGTCCATGACCTCTATCCAACATCTGAGTACAGTAGGACATACTTCCTATCTGATAGGCCTGTGTTCTTGCTCCAGTCTGCTTTGTAGAAATTGCAATATTATAAATTACTTTTTATCAGTGGTTTTACATTATAGCGGACCTTTTTGCTTCACATGCAAAGATTGAATGATGAGAAGACATGTTACATAACCAGAAGATATCAATCGAAACTTGCTCTGATGCCAGGCAGGTACACCCAACTTTAATGAAACATAAACAGTCTTTTGTCTGCAGCCTGAATACTGAAGAACTTCCAAACTCTGCACCACCACCGCCCAGATTTACCTTGAGTGCAGAACAGTATGAAACTAAGCATACTTAATATAGCCTACCTTATTAAAATAACCTGTTTCACCTGTTTGCCATTTTGCAATGATTGTAGAATACATTGTGGGCCTAATTAATATTCATGCATTTGCATTGCAACATAGTGATCTAAGGGCTAGGACGTCCTCCGTTCCCCAAAGGTACAATCATTGACTGTTTGTAGATTATATTAAAATCCAATCATTCTGAAACAGCCAGGCTTCAAAAATAAGAAAACACTGTAACCTGCTTATGAAGACAAATAGACTTGCAAGATCCAAAGCCCGACACCGACATCTACTGGACGGAATTAGAAAACTCTTCAACCTGCTTTTGAGTTACTCTTGACTCTTGGTACATAACAGGTATTTGAACTCGATAACTTACTCGCTTGAACCCGGAAGTCATTCAGTTTCGTTTATTTTAACTCCACTGGGCGATTGTTTTTAGTATAAGCCTCGTTACTTTTACCTGTGACGTGTTTATGTCATCACTTCAGCTCGTGTCGACGTAAAGCTCTACTTCAATCAGGAAGTCCGGGTTTTTTTTTTTTTTTTTTTCCGGCTCTTGAAACGTAAATGTACCGTGGATCTGCTCTCTTTTAACTTTTTTTTTTTATCATGATCCCTTACTTTCACCAGGCGTCACTTGACTCCCGGGGCATTTAAGTAAACTATAGCATTAGTAATTAATAGTTTACAAAGTTTTATAGTCGCGATTTCTTCCTCTGAACACCTGGAAAAAACTCTTTGGGGACAAATGATGGACGGTCCTCATCTGACAGAAGAGGAAATGACTGAGATTAAAAAAGACGTGAGTGTTTAGAAACTTCAAATGCATTATATCCATAAAGTAAACAAAAAAAGAGTTACAATGTGTAATGATATGTTACTCATCATTGTTTGTTCATGTACCCGATTGGTCCTTTTTAGGCCCGTGTAAATGAGGAAATCCCCTTCACGCCCTCGCTATGACCACATAACCACACTATTCTCACTTTTAGTGTAATATTATGCAGTGAAATCTTAATCTAATGAAAAAAATAAATACTTTTTTTTTATTTTTTTATTCTCCAACTGAGAGACAGTGATGTGCAGAAGCATAAGTCATCTTCTTTTACCTATTAGTCATAAAGATAAAATAACCTATAGGGAATAGGTTATATGGACTAAACTAGAGCAGGAACAAACCAAGTCTACACCAGAACTAAACTAGGACCAAAATTGGACCAAACATGGATACCTGTTTGACAACGTGAATCAAAGAAAATGTAGGATGTCAGTCATGAATTTAAAAAAAAAAAAAGTGTTGTTGTCACTTCCTTTAATTCCTAAACCTGTAAATGTGTAATAGCTTTGCCTTTGTAACATTTTTTTTTATTTTATTTTTTTTTTTTATCCCAGGTCTTGCTCCGGATGCGGCATTACCTGTGTGAAACTATCCGTGCGGAGCGTCACTTGGACTTCCTGAGGTCTAGGAGGATTCTGTCCCGGGACGATGCAGAGGAGATAGGTTGCCGAACTACTCAGAGGAAAAGGACTGCGTTGTTACTAGACTTTCTCACAGACAACCCCCGCGGACTGGATGCACTACTGGACTCCATCAGGGAAATGCGCTCAAAACTTCATCATCACCAAAATCACAGATGAAATGCAAAAAGCCAAAAATGAAAAGATTGAGTCTCTTAGAGGTGAGAAGACCCATGACGTTTCTATATTATAATATTTGCACATACTTGGATTGCAATCAAAATAGGCACTGAACCAGAACTAGAACAGGAACAAAGTCTACATCAGGACCAACCCTGTGAGAATTCATCCTTATTATATAAAGTCACAACATTGCCATCAAAAACCTCTCCGACTTTTAGACAACTGATCAACTGGTCAATGATACATTAAATATAGCTTTTTTCATTATACACAAAGCACTTTACATTGCATTGATATCAGTATTCACACCACCCACTCTAAGTTAGCTGCATTTAAACACTGTAACAACCCCAACACTATTACATTTTACACCACTAAACTTCTTTTGTTGAATGTGAAAATATTGTTCCTACAATAGTCCATTTAAAGATTCTGCCACTTCCAGTAAGCTTACCCACTTCCCATTATTCAGTTATTTGTTGTTTCGAGCGTAACTATGATTGACTACAGTTCTGAATAATAGCTGCACGACTAGGTGATATGACAAAATAAAATGTATCAAAAATGTCCTTCTATTGATCGATCACAGTTTGATTTTGGTTGGTCATATTAAAAACACATTTAAAAAGCCTTCAATATTAATTTCTAGAAAACAAAGACTCCTATTACTACTAATAAGAATTAAATTATCCCTCCTCTGTTCCAAATCACATGCTTTTACTGACAGGATTGACAGTAGACCTCTCAATTAAAAAGATCCTAACTGTCTGATCACTGACGATTAGAAAAGGCTTTCAGTTTAAATTTTGATTAATTACACAGTCCTAGTTAAATGTCGTATCTCTTTTTGCTTATTTCTTTTAGCTTCAGCATCCAGTTCATCTGACGTAGCTTGTGGCACTACATCCACCTCCGACCTCTCTTTCTCTAATACCTCCACTATGCTGTTCCACCCAGACAGCGAGAAGAGCCCCTCCTCTTCAGAATTAGCAACATCGCTCAACCTCATGTCTGACCAGAAGGTGGCAGAGTTGAGCTCTGTGGCCTGCTCTAACCTGCCCTCCACCTCCTCTAGTCTCCCCAAACCTGGAGACCCTGGGGCCCCACCTCTGCCTGATGAAATCCTGGTGGACTCCCCCTCAAATATAGATGCTGCCTCTCCTGGATGTTCTAGCACTGGAGGAGACCCCAACTTCCACCCACTCCGGTCGCGCTCACTCACTCCCAGTTCAGCCAGGAGCCTCTTTTAATAACCTCTAGAGAAAGATATTTATGGGTTTCAGCTTTTTGAAAAATGACTTTTTCCCAATCAAAATATATAATATTTTGTTTTAAATTGTTAATTGCTATGGTGACCAATGAACTGAACAGACATTGAAATGTTCATGGGTTTCAGCATTATTCAGCATTCAAAAGCTAATAATATAATATTTTTTATGAACTGGTACTTGCTATGGCAATGGTGCTGTTTTTTATTACTCTAAACCCATGTCTAAGAGACATTTACCCATGCCCCTTTTCAGGCTAAGAGAAAGAGAAAGATATACATTATCAAGAGACTTTGAAGTGATGTTACCTTGACAACAATAATCAAATCGGTGATCTTAGAAGTGTTCTGAAAATATATTTTTTCCCTTTTTTGTAACTGTTCAATTTCGTATAATGTGACTGCTTCATTTTCTGTAATTTGTCAAAGCTGCTGGTAATTTGACTACACTTTTATCACCTCACATACAATATACATCATATAATTTTCCTAGGTCATTTACTCAGTTCAGACTAGGTGTGCTGCAAAGGTGCCTGTATGTCTGATACTGTTCGGTTCTGCTGCCTATAAGTGAATGTTCTGAAGTTACATTAACTTAAATATTAACACTGGTTTATATCACTCTACCACAAGTACTCTTTTTTTTTCTACTACTACTGATACATATTGTACTATTTGTGTTCAAACTGTATGTGCTGTTTGTGTTGTAATAATGATCTATAGTAATGACTAGTCATGTGTCTATATTTATGTCAAATTAAGCCTTGATAGACAGTGCAAGTCAAACTGTATGAAATATGAAAAGGTTTATTGTGTCTAGAAGTATGGATTGTAAATTTCAATATACTCTTTGTTTTGTTAACCTCTGCTTGTTCTTTCATATATTTTGTATTACTTTTATTCAGCAAGCCAAGATTGAAATAGAACCTTAAGATTTAGATCGTCTTGTTTAGTTTACAGTTTCTACAGTACAGATGCAGCTTTTTCTCTCAGGTTGGTTGGTTCTCAAAATTAGCAAATGTCAGTGTAGAGACAGAGTGATCATGGTAAAAATGTTTTTATCTCTTCAAAAGCAAGGTATGAACCAAAGTACAAATATATGAAACAATTAGCATCTGCAATGGTCTGTAAATAGTAAGAGATTGTTAAATTTTCATTTGATTTATTCATTTTGAGCAGATTAATGAACACAAGAAGTAAACATATATCATCTAGTGCGCTTAATGTACATTTACATGCATCGATATTGAAACTATATTTTAAACCATACAGTGCACAAAATCTGCATGTTTACTGTGACTTGTGCATTTGTGTAAAAAAAGAAAAAAACACAAACAAAAAACAGTGGTGTAGTGACTGTAGTTTGACAGTTCAGGCTTTAGACCACAGTTCCTGAGGTTCACAGTTCCCTGAGAAACGGCTCATGTTAACAAGTAAGTAATATTATATGTACCACACTGTTTATTTGAAATTTCATCAGTCAAACCTATTTTGTATAGCACTTCATAACCAAAGGGATTTCCTAATTTGCATTTAAAGCATAAACAACTACTTTTTGTGCTTTCGGAATATAGCATAAAATAGGAGTAGGGGAAATTCTGTTTTACACACACACACACACACACACACACATATATATATATCTTTTGTAGTTGCCAAGTTATATCATGTATATATTTATTTCATTTTGTGTTTCAAAATAACCACTTTCTAAATCTCTTTATTTGCATTGAATATAATTGGTCTAGTTTTTCATATTTTTTATAACCTATACACATATTTATTGTCAAAATGAGCAACAGTCAGCTTATGTAAGAAAACCAGTTTGATAAACATCAGAATGACTGGAATGGCTATACCCTGAAAGTGAACTAACAACAGGCGTTAAAGCTACATTTTGTCTTTCTGTGAGTGCAGTGCGATGGAGGAGTCTGAGCCTTTGGTCCCACGCAGGTCTGGACTCGAGAGGACACAGTACGGATGGAGTGGTCACATTCGAAGCCTGGAGTCCCACATGGTCGAGGACTTCAGGAGAAAACTCAAATATTTCTTCATGAATCCCTGTGAAAAATACAAAGCAAGAGGCCGCAAACCCTGGAAACTCTTGATACAGGTTTTCAAGATTGTAATCATCACTGTTCAAGTAAGTAATGACAATATATAAGTTTAATAAGTTTTTAAAGTGATGTTTTTGGGTGTCAACTGTGTAACTTTCCTGGTGTAGGGAACAGCACCTGCTTGTCTCCATGGAGATGTTATTGAGATATTTGTTGAGAATCTTCCACAGTATGTCTTTAAACTCATCTATCTCCATGGAGTCCAGCAGGTGACGGTCAGATCCATGGATAGATGACCCCACATTTCGTAAGAATGCTTGTATTTTTAAGGCATAAAAACAATTGTAATGAAACACCTAAAAGTGCAGATATGTTTAACAATGTGGAAAATTTCAGGTAAAGCAATAACATTTCCACGGAGACAAGCAGGAGACAAGCAGGTGTCACGCACTCCAGAGAAGCTAAACAATGCATATTTTATTTAGTTATTGTTCAATCTAGTCTGTGTTTATGTCAGGTTTAGAGCAGAAAGAGGAACCAACTACAGGACTGCCCTTGCAAAGATGGTGCCAGGGCAGTTTAGTCCTTGTTTAGACCTGTTTTGTGGTCAGTTTTTTTCTGATTTAGTGTTGTATTGATTTCAGTTTCATTCCCTGTATTGACATGATTTACACATGCTTCCAAATAGTAGGAAAAAATCCAAATAGTTGTGGAAAGTTTGCTAATCACTATTTATATTTTTTATTAAATATATGTAAATTTGATCATTTTCAGTTGGTGTCTTTTGGACTGAGCAATGAAATGATGGTCACATTTAAAGATGAAAGCTTGCTGACGTTCAAACATCTATTTCTCAAAGGATTCAAGGACCATCAAATGCAAACTTATGCTATTTACACCAAAGCAGATTTATATAATCACATCTACTTTGTGACTGACAGGGTAAATATTATATGAAGTCATTTTAAAAATACTTACTTCTACTTCTAATGCTGTGTAATGCTTATTTTTATATTTGTGTTGTATTTTAAAGTACCTCCATCTCCAGAACTTGACAATGGGTAATCTTGCATATGCAGTGGTGGATGGGAGAACAACTCCTTTGTCTCTGTGTAAAGTTTTCTATAGAAACAGCAGTGTTGATCCAAGCAACGAAACATTCAACATTGACCCACATATTGAAAGAGGTACACTTAATCATTTCTCCATACTCCATACCTCCTTTAGTACACTCTGTAATAGTTACTACATTTTGCTTTTTTTTTTTTATAAAAAGTAAAGAGTTCTCTTTATTTGGTGTAGTTGAGTATAAGTTGTACTGGAGCCAGTTGCATAAATTTGCCCAGGTATCAATTTTATACTGCTTTATTGTGCAAGTATATTCATATGTTTTTGATTTTAATTAACATATCAGCAGGACATGGACTGCTTATCATTGGTCAAGGGAGAGCTTGCTGTTTTAGCCAATACTATGCTACGTCTACCACTTGTTTTTCTGTTATAGAGTGTATCAATGTTTACCCTATGGGATCAGTGGACACAAGCTTAGGTACACGCACCAACTTCTCTTTGGATTTCAGAAGGTCAGTATGTCAACATATTAAGAATATTACTCGCTTTCTTTTCTTGCAAAGGAGCACTTCTAGAAGCCTTCTATTCTCAATGGAGATACTGTTGTTTTGTATGAAATGTTCTACAAAATAGCATAAAAGTTAACAATCTCCATGGAGAGAAGTAGTGACTCCACCACACCAAATATTTTTGACAAATAAAACACCTGCAACTGAATAATTCAAAGAAGTCCAGCTACAAGTCTACCAAGAAAACATACATAGTGAACCTTTAATAAAATGCTGAATATTAATATAGATTATGATTTTCTTCCCTGCCTGTTCAGACTTCTGTCAGTGAACATCTATCTCACTTTGAAGTCCATAAACTTACAGACAGTTCGACACCATGAGCTGCCGGACTGTTATGACTTTAAAATCCAGGTGAAAATCACAATACCACGTAACTTTTTAGTGAAGTGTCTATCACAGCACACAGTTAGTACATGACTATATTGTTTGTCTTTCAGATAATTTTTGACAACAGCGCCCACAGTGGAATGGTTAAAGTGGATGTTAAAAATAACGTGAGCATATATGAATGTAAAGACTGGAGAGTTGAAGGCACTTGTAAGTTGAAAACATTTCCCATCCAGTAATAAATTTGTTCCAGTAGAGAGCAGTGCTGTTGTGTTTGTACAGCTGTGATGCTGAATCTCAGTCTATAATCTCAACAAATGTGGAAAGTCACTATTCTTGTCTTGAGGTCAACTAAGAAGTTGGCAATGTGGGAAGGATGTAGGTTGTAGTAACAGTTTATGACTTAATGAGTTTATAACCATCTTGTAATGTAGTTTTTGTCATAGTGTATACAGTAGCGTTAACAGTCATAATGATGATGGTCTTGTAGTAGAGAGATAACTGTTGCTAGTACTGCAATGATAAAGATTATACCATTACTTTAAACTTAAATTAATAAAATTTTTATTATTGTATTTACTGGCAAAAGAAAAAGTTGTGACTTAAGTTGTGACTCATTTAGCAAAGTACCCAATTGTAAATTTTATTGGAAAACTGAAGTAATGCTATTTTATATGTTCATAAAAGTACTTTCTCAGTTATTCTTTTTGTTTGCTCATTGTTTTTCATTTGTAGCTGGGAAAAACAACTATGGACTGCTGGTGTTTGATTCAGTTGTCATTTTGGCCTGTTTCGCCTCCCTCATCCTGTGCCTTCGCTCTGTCATCAATGGCATACAACTTCAATTTGTAAGTATGAAAAATTGTATATTTTTTAAAATTCCCTTTACATATACAAATTGTATTATTGTTCTCTTTTTTAGGAGTTCAACATATTTTTCCATGCATATTTTAATAAAATTGTGAGCTGGTCGGACCGTATGGAGTTTATCAATGGCTGGTACATCCTGATAATCATCAGTGACATTTTGACCATCATCGGGTCAGTAACGAAGATTGGGATCCAGACAAAGGTATCTGTTCTAACAAGTTTAATATTTCATATTCAATATAGTTTCCCACACTGTTTGTGTAAAGCACTTATGTATAATGTACCTTATACTGTCATAACATTGCTTAAATTTACACTTTGTTGTTGCAGTTTCTGACCAACTATGATGTCTGCAGTATTTTGCTGGGAACTGCCACAATGCTGGTATGGGTTGGAGTCATTCGTTATTTTGGATTCTTCAAGAAATACAATGTAAGGGCTGCTATAAATGTATATGTATAAATGTTTTGAATGTTTTTTCAAGATTTAGAAATGTATATTGCAAGTAGGTAACATTCACCTATTCAGTTTCACTTGGTTCATGTAAACTAATTCAACTCTTTAAAAATATCACTTTCATGTCATTCCTTTGTTTTTTGTTTAGATTTTGATATTGACCCTGAGAGCAGCTTTTCCAAATGTGATAAGATTTTGCTGTTGTGCTGCGATGATCTACCTCGGTTACTGCTTTTGCGGATGGATCATACTCGGACCACATCACGACAAAGTAACTTCACATCCATAAACTTTTGTTAAGAAGGTTATTATTATATTCCTAAAGCTAGATGTGAGGTGATTTATTACGTGGATTTCAAACTTTTCACACCATCTATAATATTTAACTTTTCCACCAAATTTAACCCCAAGACTTTATCAGGCCTAACCAGGGCTGAACTTGATCTAAAATCAGACTAAAGCATGGATAAAGTAGATTTAGATCATGTTTAACCCAGAGAAGGACAAAAATATTAATGGAATCATCTTTAAATTAAATACTTACTATAAACTGTAGAGGACCACTGGCATCACCAGAAACACTTCTCTAGGTACAAGCTGTGTCTTTTAACATGCAACAGTTATCTAATTTAGCAAAATATATTTCTTGGTACATTTTTGCGCAATGATCAACTGCAAAAAAAATAAAAAATTAAAAATACTATTATTTCTATAAAAAATATCAATTAAAAAAAAAAAATATAATATATATATATATATATATATATATATATATATATATATATATATATATATATATATATATATATATATATACATATATATATATATATATATTTATTTTTTTTTTTTTTTTTTTTTTTTACAGTTCAGGACACTGGACAAAGTGACTGAATGTCTGTTTTCTCTGATTAATGGGGACGACATGTATGCCACCTTCTTGAACCTGAGGGACAAGAGCTACATGGTGTGGCTGTTCAGCAGGCTCTATCTATACTCCTTCATTTCTCTTTTTATTTACATGGTGCTCAGCCTGTTCATAGCCCTCATCACTGACACATATGAGACCATCAAGGTTAGTGAAATTATGTCATGATTTAAACAATTGTCTTCAAAATATATACATTCCATGTGTGTCTATAATGTCCTAACAGAAAAAACACAGTTCAATTCTACAATATTAAAAACATGCAAAATCCCTCTGATTGGTTGCCTGGTCAGATCAGCGTGAAAGGATTCAGTTCAATTGCAGTGAATGATTTATCTTAAAGGGATAATATCTTAACTTAATCACAGGAACGGAACTTTAGCAAGCCTGAATGTGACTACATTGTAATATAATGAGTTATTTTGTCTAGTCAGTAATAGAAATGATCAGGTTCAACATTAGTGAAATTTTTCATGGCAAAGTACAATGTAATCAATGGGAAAAGCTGTCCCTTGCCCCTCCTCTGAGAGTCATCATCACATTATAGAAACTGAAAACCAACAATAACAGCAATGTATTTGTTATTTCCTTATGTCTCTCCAGCACCATCAGCAGGAAAAGGTGCCAGCCTCTGAGCTTCAGGCCTTCATAGCTGAGTGCAGAGACCAGCCTGAGTCTGGGAGATACCAGACCAATAAGTCCTCTTCTTGCTGCTGCTCTGGATGAAGAATGTAAACAATGCATGGTTAATCTGCATACAAGTACATGGTCATAGTCATATATGAATAAAATAATGTGTCTCAATAGTTACTCAAAACTTAGCTTGATAATAATTTGCTCACTATAAAATATCAATTTTTTATTTTTATTTTATTTTATTTTTTTCAAATTAATGTAAATAATTTGCAATACGAATTATGAAATGAAATTATGCATGCTTTACTTTTGTTATTGAATTTTTAAATAGATTTTAATATAATAGTCAAATATTAATAAAATAATATAAATAATAATTATAAAAATGTGTTTTATACATATTTTCGTATTTATAATTTATTTTCATTTATTTATTTCATTTTATGTTTAATAGTACTCCTCTAGCCAGAGATGATTTCATGCATTTATTAAAATATGTTTTGAAATATGTTTTGGATGTTTCTGGTCCGTCTCTCTGAACACCTGACAGTGCGTCCCATTTGCATAATCCTCCTGTACGTGCTCACGTCCAATGCACGTCTCCAGTACTGACGCTGCCTCCAATCACAATGGCGTTTGGTGCGAGGCCAAAGAAGACGAGACTTAAAAAAAAACATCAGCTCCTCGCTCAGACTCAGACAACTCCAGCTGCAGAGGTAACAGCCTGCATTTTGTCCCGTGTCAGTATTAAATGAAACAGATTTGTAACCTCAATTTTATGAAGGATTACTTACTGGATTCAACACATCGCTCCCTTTGCTGGGGTTTTATTGTTTTTTTTACGCCTGACAAAAACAGTGTTGACCTTTTTTTCGTGGTTGGACTTAATTGCCCCAGGGTAAGGTACGTTAACGCCTAGCTTTGCTTTCTACAGGTTAGCAAATATTGTAATTCGTGTCATATGTATTTTTTGATCACGTTGTTATTCAATTCAGATTCACTTTTTAAATGGCAAACAAAACTGACCAGCCTTTTAACCAAGTAAGTTAGTAACTTAAACTGTCGATCTAGTTAGTTCGGGAAAATATCCCAATTTCCTTGTTGGAATTGGGTAAATATCAACTAACTATTTAGATTTGATGATCAAGGTATTATTTTATGTCTAGTCGTGCAATCTGCTTAATAATTTGGTTTAATACTTGCAGAAATTGTTATCTCAGACACTGAACAGAAAGACACTTATTGGGGCCTGGTTTTGGAGATAAGCCATTGAATGCTTGCTGCAATACAAAAACACCTTGCAGTTTTAAATGCGTGACATTTCTGTGTATACAACCCTATATTTATTTTAGCTCTTTTGTTGAACCTTCCAATGTTCTCTCACCAACTCTAGTTTAAAACAAGTTGGGATAGTAAAGTACAGTGCTGCTCCGTGGGAGTGCCAGGTAAGAGTCATTGAAATGTCTGGTTAATCATGTTTTGACGACACTTATTGTCCTAAAGCAGCGAAAGTTATACAAAACAAATCCCATGCCTGTATTATCATGCCTATCCCAATTTCCTCAAGTGGGACATGTCAGCTAATCCCCTGGGATCAGCCTCCTTATCTCATTGCAATGCATTTTATTGGATATTTGAACCAATGGGAGTTCCCTCTTAAACCTCAATCCGGTTTTGTCAAAGGATGTATTATGTAGCCTCTCAATCTCTATGCCTTTTTCAGTGCCCAGTTCCCAATTGGTGCTTTTGGTCCTCTGCATGGCTGCCAATCTAACTTTATTCATAGGAGGTAACTCGTGACCTGCCAGTATAGTGTCCTGATATGTTGGTGATATGGGAGATTGGTGGACAAGGGTGCCAAATGAAACAACTATTGGTAATATTTCATTTTTAAATATTGTCTGCTATAAAAAGATGAACTGATTTAGCTGCTAGAGATGGCCTAGTTTCTTGTCTTATTTTAGAACAGCAACCTACTTTAGCTTTGTCTGTTTGATGAACAACATAAAATACAGTACTGTCCACCTAACACTGTAACATTACTTGTTTGTGCTTTACAGGGAATTATGAGACTTCCCATGTGACGATGTCCCCTTCCAAGCTGAACAACATTATGTCTTTCTACTCCCCTTTGGGGCTGTCCACAACATCCTACAATGTTATCAATGCCTTTTGCACTGAAGACAACATCCCCCAGTGTATTTCTTATGTTAACCAGGTAAGTACAGTCTATTCAGTACTTTAAAAAGAAAAAAGTGTAAAGTAAGACCTTAAACACGAGGCAATACATGGGTCACAAGAACAAGACAAGATTTAGACATGAATTACATTCTGGTAATTTCCTATGTATCGCATGTTTTTATGCCATAGCATATTTTTGTTATTTTCAGTAAAACCATATCCACTTCTATGGCAAAATATCAGTGTGATTATTGCACTCATCTTTCTAATGCAACTAAATCTATATTATATGCAAATTGGCAACTTGAAAAAGGAAAATATGACATAACACATTACTGCATAGCAGTACTAATGAAAGATCGTTGAAATGTATTTCTAGTTGTGATTTAAGTGTTTTTATTAGACTTAGACGTGAATTTAAAAATGTTAACATCAGAATCAGCAAGTTCTAATATCTTGCTCTCAATATCATTGTGGTTTTCTTATTCTTGTCTTCATTACTGCAAATTTGTGTTGTCTTTTCAAACAAATTGGTTTAGTTCTAGTTGTAATGAATATTGCAGCCCTCTTAATTCACTTATATTTTGGTGAACAGGAGCTGGACTCTCTGGGCTTGGCTTCATGTATAGAGGTCAGTGCAGCAGGGAAGACAGACCTGAGCTCTGTCCCAGCTCTGAATGCCTTTTATGAGCTGCTGCAGATCCACAGACGGGACATGACCATGGTGGAGGAGCTCGAGAGGGACCAGCTCAAGAAATCCAGCACTTTAGAGCATGTGCAGATGAGCAACTCCAGACTCAAAGTTAGCATCACAGTTTGTTTACATTAATATTCATTCTTGGGAGCAAATCTAAAATCTTCTTATTTATTAAATTTCATAACTTCCAACAATATCTGTGTAAGCCTTCAGTTGTCCAGGTATGATCCTTGGCAAATGAAAAATTCAGTTCTGTCAACTGGGCAAAAGTTTTGCAGTAAAGACATTTGTCGCTCATCTAAGTGGCATCAGACCAGAACTGAAGAAGCTGCTTTGATGAACAGATTGCAAAATTTATCTTTCCCCCCTGCTAGTCTGTAGAGTAGGTCTGTTTGGTCTTAGAATCTCATTAATACTCGACCGTGCAATAAAATCTGCAAGCCAAAGCTGAAGCTCATCATAAACTTGTACATGCCTGACCACTTTGTAGCCATACAGTTGGCGTTTTTCTTTCCACGCTGCTGTGTAAGCAGTCTCATTCCATTGGATTTTCTGGTGCCACTGATTCTTTGTTCAACACTCTGCATAGATCAACCAGTTAATGAGACTGTTCCTTTCTGTGGGACCGCTGTATGGTCCCGTGTGACCCAAAGTGCATAACTGGCTGGCTCTAGTTCAACATTCTCATCCTTTGAAAACTCTGATGAGGTTTTGTGGTTACATTTTATATTATTAACTGCTAAAAACATTACAAAGTGAGTGCTGGCAAATGACATAACTTTGTATTCTTTCAAACTCGCCCCTTCCAAAAATGAAAGGTGTCAGTGAAAGGTGTCTCTATGCCCAATTAATTCGAACATTGCAAATGTTATTAATGCAAATGTTGCATTAATTTTACGACAAATGCCATTGAAATTGTATTTACTTTTTCCACTTGCTTCAAAGAATAATATTCAAATGTGCCTTTTGTCTTAGGACCAGTTGGAGTTGTCCATGAGGGAAAAGTGTGGTATGCACGAAACTGAGCGTCAGCTACAACTCAAGATTAAAACTTTACAGAGCTGCCTAAAAACTGAAAAGGAAGAGGTTTGTTTATTTGACTTCTTTAACTTCTTTCAATACATGCTACTTAATGTATCATAAATAACCCATTTTCCTTTCCCAATTTTCTTTTAGGTTCAGAAGCTTCAAAATATAATCACTAGTCGTGCCACACAGTACAACCATGACACTAAGCGGAAAGAAAGAGAAACAGCTAAACTTAAAGAACGCCTAAGCCAGCTCTTAGTCGACAGAAAGGACAAAAAACTCTGTAAGTAACTGTAGATGCACTGAATAATTTCAATAATTCTCTGTTAAAATGTGAAATCTTTTTACCTTATTAATAGCTATTGATGTCTTGAATTGTTTGGGCCGCGCTGATGGAAAAAGGAGCCATTGGAAAACTGCAAAAGCTACTGTCAGGTAGTAAAAAAAAAAAAAAGAGCTATATGAGCATTGGCAGTGTATAGCTACTCGTTTTGGAGTTATTTAATTAAATTTACAATAACTAGAATTACACCTTCTACTATTATCCTTCTATATTTATTATTTTAGGAATGCAAGCATATAATATAATAATTAGACGTTACACTTAATTACATGTACCTTCTCTACCCTTTTTTTGTATGTGGTTCCTTATCCAGCCATGAGGGGGACATGTACAAGTCTTTGCTGAGTGACTATGAGGCGAGCCAGAGGTCATTGATGGTGGAGAACGCAGAACTGAAGAAAGTGCTGCAGCAGATGAAGAAGGAGATGATCCACATTTTAAGTCCACGACCAACGTCAAAAGGAGCCAACGCTGATGACGGCCAGGATCAGGTATTTGTAATATTTCATTATCAACTTTGGCTTGGCTACTTCATGGAATTTGAATCATTTATTTCAAGGGTTGGGAAATGCTTCAAGCATTTTAAAAAAATTACTTGATGATAACTTGGAGTATATAGCATATTTTAAAGTAGCAGGGTCAGTACACTTTTTTTTTCTAAAATACTTGCATACTCCATAGTAGGATTACTTTGTGTGTGTCTTGCATATATATTTTTAGTAGAACAAGAAAGTTTAAAATCAAGTTATTTCAAAGCCAGTTGGGAATGTTGAATTTGAGTAAATGATTTAATAATTCTAATAAATGTAATTAATGTTTTTCCTTCAAAACTTTTATTCCAAACTTGCCATTCAGGGTGACTCAGACACAGAAGAGAGGGCAGGAGACTCTGGCAGAGAATCACTGGATAAGTCATGTGAACTGGCCCGAGAGCAGCTCACCAACAGCATTCGGCAGCAGTGGAGGAAAGTGCGCAGCCACATGGAGAGATTAGACAGCCAAGGTACAGTTTGTTAATTTTCATAGGTCATCACAAATGTCTATACATCTGTGGTGTTTGAGACCACATTGGAAATATAAATGATCTGGTTCAGTATAGATCAGATTTGTATAGTTGTTATGAATCTACAACATTATTCATACATACAGAAATATTGAATTCTGCCTCAAAACAGCCAGTATAATGTTTATTATACTGTGGTAGACCTACATTTAATTTATTCAAATATTGTGTCCAAAGCTTCTCAAAACCAAGAGGATGTAATCCCAAGACAGACGCATGATGATGAGATGGAGAAGATGAGGCAAGAAGTGCTGCAATGTAAAGAGTTTATCCAGACACAACAGCAGCTCCTGCAGGTCAGTATCTATAGTACACCGTGAAAAGTAGGGCGATATGACACAATTTCGTTCACAATCACAATTTATGATTTATTTTGTCTTGATAATAAAAATTGTGTTTATTAATAATTTCCTGAACATAAACAATGCAGATTTTGAATCATTGCCATTTAAAATACATTGCTCCAGACACATGCCTTTACTGACAGCCGGGTGGCTGTAGACCTTTTGATTTAATTGACCCAATTTGAAAACTCAGTTTTCAGTGATAGTGCTTTTTTTTTTTCCAATTTACAGCAACAACTACACACCTCCTTTGATGACGACACTGCTGCATTGCTGAACGACTGCTACACTCTGGAGGAGAAGGAACGTCTTAAAGAGGAGTGGAAACTTTTCGAAGAACAGAAAAGAAACTTTGAACAAGAGCGAAAGAACTTCACTGAAGCTGCTATTCGTCTGGAGAGAGATGTAAGGGGGGCTTAAATTTCTGGTATCTTTTTTTTTTTTTTTTTTTTTTTTTTTTGTGATGACATGTTAAATGTGTATTCTATTTTGCAGAAAAGAGCGTTTGAGGAGGATCGTGCTTCTTGGCTCAAAAATCAGTTTTTGACCATGACACCTTTTGCTGACCGCCGGAGAGGATCTTCGTCAGATGGTGGTCAAAGTTCACTATCCATAAGTATGTTTATGCCATTACAAATGATAATGCTTCTTGTTTGTCTTCATCATTTTGATCAATTGTGATGCAACCAACCAGCTAAAAAGTGACATAAGAATATGCGCAACTCAAAGCATGGACAAATTTGATATTCTAAACTTAATTTAAAAGAGAAGTTCAACGCATTTGTATAACAGCCAAATAGTAAATAGCTCTATCCTGATTTTGTATAGTGTAATAATTAATACAAATATGCATGTTTTTGTTAAATTTTATTAATTTATTCACAGGAAGTGAACCAGAACTACGAATGTCTTCCTCTTCATTTCATCTACCCAAAATCTCGACGTACTCGACCAACTTCTCCACTCCAAAACCTGAGCCTCGCTCAGCTGTGCCAACCACAACGGAGCTCTATCGAACACTCCGACTCATACCAGATACAAGGTACTAATGTCAAACTGTTAAATAATATTTCAATTTAACTACATTTTTGTTCCAGTAATTAACATTTGCATTTAGTTTTATATCTTGGAAATTTGTAATAACAACTACTTTTTACTCTTATTGGTTGGTTTCTGTATCTATACTTGGTAGATTTTTGACACGCCCAGTTCAATGCTGAAAAACTTGCCAATATTTCATAGATTGTTTTACCCTTTTATATGTCTTTTCTTTTAGCTCAAGACAGCTGAATCGGGGACGCTGGCAAGAATCAAGTACAATTGAGGATGGGGACAATCGGACCAAGACAAAAATCCGCTCCCGATGTGGAGAAATAAGCATATTCAGTTTGGGAGAAGAGGAGAACATGACAGAACTGACATGACAAATCACTGGTGCCTTTTTGTACAGCAGAAAACAATGAACATCAATCAAAACATATTTTTACCAAATGCAAAACCAAGACCACTTTAGACTATAAATGCACTTTATTGTCTAAACTCTAATCACAAAATCAAGCACTTTATTACTTTTATCATTATCTTTTTACAGTTTAAGAACAAGAATGTAAAATCAAATTGTACATAGAATTGTAATTGGCGTAACTGATAGAATTTTATTTAAATGATAAGGGTTTAGTTTACATTTCTTTGTTTACCTATTGAAGACTATATGGTATGTTTTGTAACATAGAGGTGTCTAATAAAATAAAGCTGATTTTTAATTTCACTAGTTTTAATAATGTATTTAATTACTAGTTACTAGTTTTGAATAGGCAAAATATTTTGTCTTACCCTAGTTATCTACAATTATTCTGTTTGCTTCAAATTTCTGTGGTACATGTTTTATTTAAAAACAAAACTATATATATTTTTCTATTTAGAATTGCCTAATCCAGGATTGTCTCATTTTAGATAATTTTAGACATAATTTAACTGACCAAATATTTTCTTAGGCGAGTCTCAGTGTAACAGATTGTAACAGAACAGTACAGTACAGTACTCACTCTGTATTTGATAACAAAGCAACTGAGCACAAAATTATGCATTAGAGTCTGCATTAGATAAAGTATTTTTGCTCCATATATGAAAAATGGCAAATTATGAGTGTATGGGTGCCCTCTTCTGGACATACAAAAAAACGACTGAAGTGTGCAAAACCGGAATCCGGATGTGATCATTTCTGCTTTTTGTCGGAGCATCCACCCACCTCCTGCAACCACAGCTCGCAACTCAGACTTTAGACCGAAAAAACAAAACAAACATGTCTACTTCAAATCTTATTGCCATGAAGAAAGTCGTACAGCAGTTGCGTTTCGAGGCCAGCATAAACAGAGTAAAGGTAATCGTCATATTTTAACTTTTTTGTTTTTGTTATAACGGGAAAGCAACAAATCCGCTATGGCTAACAAGGGGGTTACGATAACTGGGCGTAACTTCTTGTGGAAAGTAGTAACATTTTTAGTATGTTTTATAGAAAGTAGCCGATATTTGTGTGTTTATGACTGCAATATTAAAAGAAACCTTTCCCCTAAGAGTAACTTCAAATAATAGTATTTTTTTTTTTATTATTCTCGTGTTTTTTGATTAGCTTTAGCTGTTAGCACCTCAAATCTGGGGGGCTACTAGTAATAACCCAATGTTTTTAACATTCTATTCCTGAACAATTAACTTAGATTATTTCCACACCTCTGTTCTTGTGACTGATTATTTCTAATGTGTTTTAGTGTCCAGATTTTATTGGTGGTAAAAATCATGATTTAATTTACTCCGATCACTTTTGATTGTTGTTATGCTAATTCATTGTGACACAAATTATTATCAGGCCAACCTTTCAAAACTTCCCACAGTTGTGTAACTACAAAGCTTCCCACTATTTTTAAAGACTATGGTGTAATCCTGTGTATATTTTGCAACCCTTGCAAAAGTCTTTAGCCACAAACAACAAACAAGATTTTGTTGTAATTACAGTACATTTTCCTGATTAATACCTTTTTTTGTCCATGTGCTTTAAAGGTCTCTCAAGCGGCCGCAGATCTGCAGCAGTTTTGTGTTCAAAACGCCTTACATGACCCTCTGCTCACGGGCGTCTCATCCAGCACCAACCCCTTCAGGCCGCCCAAGGTCTGCTCCTTCTTATGAAACCTCCGAGGTACGTGTCCGCACACTGAAAACCATTCATCTGGCTTCTGAACAGCTGATGAGGGTTGTATGGATGTGGATGTGAGGAATGTGGTTAGAGAGATCAGGAGGCTATGTCATAAAATGAGTATAGGGAAATCAACTACGTCAACACAAGCAAATGCAGACCCCATAAAATTTCACAAACAAGAACTGATTTCTCTGCACTACTAAGACTCCACAAAGAAGCCCTCAAGCATTGTGAAAATCTACTTATGACTGGCCTTTTGTGATCTAAACTAATGAGTTAATCATAAGAATAATTGGCATCTTGATCACTTGCCCAAATAATTGTTAGTTACAACCATAAAATGGTGAATACTTCTAAATTAGTAGAATCTGGATAGTCTTTTGTGAAATCTAACTTAAATAGTGTGCATCCTAAAATGTCAATTAGTTGAATTATTGCTCTTAATGTATTAAATTTTTTATTGTGCCATGTGCCTACTACCCACCATGATATTCTTTGGGCATGTATTGTGTTCTCAATAACAATAATCTCCAAGGATTTTTGTTTTATTCACTTTGCTTATAGATAGATTTATTAAGAGACTAAATAGCAAATATGAAACATTAAACAAACAACTAACTAAACCCTGTATCAGTTTATTTCTCATAAACATAAAGAGAAATCTGTGTCCATTCTTATATATGTCCACGCAGAGTATGTGAATGTTTGTCATGTTATGGGCTGCTGTATTTTGATCCTTGACTGTTTTCTATGTTGTAGGCCTATACTTCGATGTGACAGGGAACAACGACCATGACACTGCTCCTCATGCCAAGCCATCACACTGCCACGGGACCCGACGGCACAAGACACTGGAAATGGACCATCAGCATTCTGCAGCAGCAACAAATAAAGAAGACCATTTTATTTTTCATGGCACAGTGTGGTTTTTAGAAGAAATTGTTGTGCCTTTTCTATTGTTCTATTTTAGCCATCATTGTTGTAACTTTTTGTATTTAATAATGAATAAAAACATTCTTTACTACTCAAATGTTTGGCTTACTGTGAAAGCAAGAAACAGTGCACTGTGTGTGTGTTTTCTAATAGATCAGCACCTGTTTGTTTCCAAGAAAATGTAACTGCTTTGCCTTGAAGTTGTAATCTACAGTATGGCATTGAACTTGTATATCTCTATGGAGACAAGCAGAGCGCATCACCAGGTCAAGTTTCAAGTCACATCTATGAAGAGTCAAGTTTGCAGTAGAAATGCTTATTTTTCAAGGTATTTTTGAGCAATAAAAACACATCGACTAAATGCAAAATGTTGATGTTTAATGCCATACTGTGGAACACCCCAGGCAATGCATTCAATTCTATGAAGAGTCTCTGTAATCCCTCAGTCGTCCAGGCATGACCCATAGCAAGACAAATAATAATTCTATCACAAAAACTTTTGACAGAATAGATTTTTTCTTTTGCAATACATGAGGAGAAACAAATAGACCCCCACCAGAAAAGTTTAGCGGTACACCTATAATGTGGTACTGTTGAAGGGAAATATTGGTTATGTTGGTTGACTGATAGGTATATACAAAACCCTGAGCTGCATTTAGATGATGACATGATCATAGATTGGACATGATGCAATACACCAGACCTAATGGGGACAGCGCCCTCTGCTGTTCTTGTTCAAACCGCTGCCCGTACTCACGTTTATAACTCTCGCGAGATAAATGGTGAAAGCCTACAACATCCTCGACATCAACGTGCTCCTAAACCAACTGAGGCGGGACGACCCTTTACATATAGGAAATGATACCGGGAAGGGTGTGAGAGCTGAGCACAGGTCCGCTTCCTTTGATTGTTATTACACTGTTGTTATTCCCGGTTTTCCTCAGCCTGAGCCGCTCATGAGGACGTTCGTCTGAAGAATGAAACATGGGACCGCGTTGCTGTGGAAACGGTAACTTGTTCCGCTAACCTATTTACCGCAGGCCCGGGCAGGTGCGCTAATCTGAGCCGAAACTGCTCTTAAACACTCATATGAGGGACTTGTCTTCGGCACTGGAGGGATGAATGTCCTAAATATGTTAGCTCCTTCACTTTGGAGACGAAGCTGCGCTTAGCAAGCTACATGTATGGACTATTGCATCAGCAACATTGTGCTGACGTTAAGCTGCTCTTAGCAGTAAGCTATTTTGGTGCTGTTACAATACCACTTTATCCCATCCAAAATACCTAACTGGCCTTTGTAAGAACAGTATTGTTGTGCACTGGTTTATTCTAGACCAGACCGGTTCCAGAGAGGAGGGATGATGCTCCAGGATGGGCCAGTGCAGCTCCTGTGCCTCACTGCTAACAGTGGGGTCCCCCTGTTCACCCGGGGAAGCTCCAAACCGCTCCCTTTCTCGGTCATTGGGTCATTGAATGGAGTGCACATGTTTGGAGTGGGTCAGGGGGTGTCACTGCTCAGCTGTGACACTGGGGGAGGGGGAAAGGTGGTGTGGAGAGTGTTTAAGGACAGTGTGATGCTCATTGCTGTGAGTGGAGGTCAGAGGAGTCAGAGCAGCCTCGTGAAGGAGGAGCTGTACCTGCAGCGCCTCCTCGACAATGTGTGGGGCTGTATGGTGCTGGTGCTGGGACAGGACGAGCTGGTGTCTGTAAGGAACGTGGAGCGTCTCAAGAGGGACCTGCGAGCCTGCTTCAGCCTCATAGACCTGCTTCTGGATGAGAGACAGCAGAGCATCATGGGAAACCTGACACACTGTGCTGACTCATTGCTGCCCCCTAACCCCGCCCTACTCCAGGAGGCCATGGCCGGCTTTGCTCAGGCCGTGGACAGTGAGTGTGGCTGCCTTGTCATTCATGGACGATTAGCTGCAGCAACTGAAAAGTGGTGTCATCTAATGCCTCAGGAGGTGGCACTGCTCTTGACCTTAATGCAGACACTGTCCAATTCTGGGTCCTCTTCTTGTGACTATCCAGTTTTTCTCCCTCAGACCAGCCCCACTGTAGCCCTCCGTCTTCTGCGCTTTCAGCTGCTGCCCGGGGCAGATGTGTGTGTGCTCTGTGGCCCCACACCATCTCTGCACAAGGCAGAGAGTCAGCTGCTGTGCCAGTTCTGGTCTCCTCTGGTGGACTCTCTCAGAGACTGTTTGGCTGTTGGGGAACGTTGCTTACCTCCATCTGTCATTCTAAGACAGGACGTGCTGTCTTTGATGCTGATAAACAGAGAGACGCACCGCTCTGTCTCCTGTGTCAGAACCCTGTCACACCAGCCCGACCCTCTGCTGCCCTCTAGAGCCCGCTGCTGGGAACTTTTGAAACTTTTTTACATCTTCAGCATCACAAGATATTTCCACAAGGAAGATTGCCTGTTTGAGGAGCAGACCCTGGGCAGTTCAGAGGACTTTGTTCAGGGATTTCCCCATCAGCCACTGCAGTGCTACCTGGTGACAGAGGAGTGCAAGTGTTATGGCCTACAGACCAGTCAACACCAGTTGTTTCTTCTCCTGCCTCTCTCAGTGCCTGCATTTACTCTGCGCTCTGTGGCCAACCAGACACTTTCACAGATAGTCACATCCACTGGGTTTTGATCTGCTGCTTCTTTACCTCACTGGTTCACTGTCTGATGTCTATAATGCAGAGGGTCTTGTTTGAACATTAAACCAGTGGCAGACACTGACACACCTCAGTCAACATTTGAATTGACAAATTTATGGAAATGATTACTCCATTTCAAACACAACTGCTATTTATGTTATTTTTATTATATGTTAAATAAAGTTATACTTTCATTTGATTATGTTGTTCCATCCATCTTATTACAGGCATTTAATTTTGCATGTACAATTTTAATATCTTGCATGTACATGACTCATAAGTGCTAGTACTAATACATTATCATAGTCATTGTAGTGTCAGTTCATTTTTATATTTAATTTACTTTTCATTGTGAAGGACACGCAGAATCATTACTGAATTGAATTTAACATTGACTGTAACCTTGAATGGCCAGGTCCGAATCAGAATCAGGCCTCACACTTTAAATGCAGGCTTGAATGGACAAAGTTTATGTCAGATAATTTGGTTTAATTCATTAGATTGGCGTTGCATCATGACCGGAAGTTTAATATTTGCAGAGAACATTTTGAGAGACGTGTTCAAGATCAGAGTTTAGCCGTAAGTGGAATCAAAATCCAAAAAATGATGTATACTTTGGGCTTTCAACCCCTCTCCAAAACTGCATGGCTGTGAACTATCCAAAACCAAACTCGTGTCACGAAAAACTAAAAAGACGAACTGAAACCTCTACATTGTCAAAAGTGGATCTTGACTTCCCCCTAGCTACTTAAAGCTCTCCTGACTTCTGCACTAAGGTAACCGGAGAAGCCGCGTCCCAAACTGACAGCAAGCGGCGCGTAGACAGCCAGGGAAGGGGAGGGATGACATGGAATAAGCCACACCAAGAGGAGGGGTGCCGAGGCGGGCGACAGTGCCATGTGGGCAGACCAGAGTCCCCAACTTCCACAGTAAAAGTTGTAGTCGGTGCGGGTTGTAGGCGAACGCGGCTTCTGTTTTGATGCTTTTGCAAGTCCAAAGTCCCGGAATTGCGCATTTTTAGACGCGCGTTCACCAACTCATCAGCACTGTCAAGACCAGACTGTCGCCATAGCACTTTATACTGACTTTTGAACAACTTTGGGAAGACATGTCTGCTTCGAGAATGCGTTTGCTCTCACCCCGAAATCTGCGCCTTGTACGCCGGGGACCACGCGACTATCTGGGGGCTTGTAGCGGTAGTCAGCCCGGTGGTCCCATCTGCTCCCCGTCATTGACATCTCCCCATTCTGTGTCCTCCACTATGTGCAGATCTTTGTCTAGTCTGACCACATCTCGTCGCGGCCTCCCCAAAGAGAAAATGTCCGAGAATGGGATATCCCGGCCCAAGGTGCTCACCCTGGACACCATGAACCCCACGGTGAAGATGGTGGAGTACGCGGTGAGGGGACCCATCGTGCAGCGCGCCGTGGAGCTGGAGAAGGAGCTGTCTGAGGTCTGTACTGCCCTGTGAAATCTTATTATATGTGCCACTATCTGATTTCATGTCTATTTGTTATGAGTGCCCAATTAGGGAGCAAATGTACCCTGTGTCATCCATAGACAACAAACTGTGTACATGGACAAGCATTGGTACACTTTTTTGGTGAACTTGCTTGCCTCCATGAAGATGTTAATGTTTTGCCTTAATATTCCACAGTATGACATTAAGCTGAATCTATTTCCATGGAGACAAGCAGGTGACCTCACAAGGCCAAGTTAGAGGTCAGGTATTTTTTTTTACCTGTAATTGAATAAATCCATACCGTGGGACATTCCAGTCAAAACAGTAACATCTCCATGGAAACCTCTCCCCCACTCTAAACGTTACATAGTGCATCTTTAAAAGTAAACTGCATCAACACTTTGTATTACTTTAGACAAAACAAACTGACAAAATGTATTTTTTTAATTTTCTTTAAATCTTCATGCTATCACAACTTTTATGATATTTATAAATAATTATGATCTAGGTAAAATAATTTTTGTATTTAATAATAATCTGTACAATATTATATTACTAGACCGTTGCACGCACGCCTTGAATAAAAAAAATGTTTTCAGTAGGTTGACACATATCAGAGTAAAGTTTTACACAGGACTTCTGCCTCTCAGATTTATAATCACACATCAGCAGGCCTCTCCCCTTTAAGTGTTATTTAGTTACTGTTTCACAAGAATTACCGTCATGATCATAACAGAGCATGGTGACATACCGTTCAAACTTGGGTCAAGGTCCAGACACTGGTTAGAAATTGTCTGTCTTACGTCAACAAAATCCACTGTCACAATTTTGTTTCTGTTCTAGTGTGGCTCTCTTTCACTACTATTGTACACAAAAAGTGATAGAGATGGTCATTTAAATAAGAAACTGGACTTCATTATGACAGTTGTAAGTTCTGCGTTGTCACAGTTATAAAATTTCAAACCTTCCTCAAGACCCTCTCCCAGTGGGACATGCCCAAAACACCTCCCCAGGGAAAGCATTCTGGGCATACTATACAAGTGTTACTTCTTAAAGAGTTTCTAGTTTTGAAACTACAAGTTTGTATCTGGATACATTTTAGACAGCCTTAATATAGTATGTATAGTATATATAGAGTCATATAAACATATAAAACCATATTCAATCGTTGGAAATACTGTTTGAATAATAATCAATATTGCATCTTTACATATCCTAGAAGTGGTGCGATATTACTTCTTGTTACATTTTAATACCATTTTGAGGTAACTGAACTTTTATTTCAATTTAGTTTAGAATACTCTGCCCACCTACACTATTTGTCCATCTTGTTGCAAATCATTTTTATTTAGTGTAACTCAAAGCTACAGTATTTTTGTGTGTCTGTGCTTAATGGTGATGTGGCAGCAGCTGAGTGTGCAGAGTGCAGTGTGCTGTGAAAACCTTTTCTGCTTTGGGAAATGAGGAAAAGACAACAAGCTCTGAGCAGGTGAAGGCCGCATTGACACAGGGGGCATTTTAACCATATGTCATGAAAGGTTTGCCTTCTATTTGGTCTGTGCTTACCATTCTGTGACTGATAGTGACTGGCTTAATTATTTTTCTTTTTGATTTGGCAAAAGTTGTTTTTGCAACCTTTAGGAAAAGTATGTCAGCAAATGAATAAAAGTACATTGCTTTGACACACTACAGTCTATACTATGCCTTTTTTCTTTGCACCAAGATCATAATTTGATTCTGTCATGATGCAGGTAAACTTGTGTTTATAATGAATTTAAGAGGAAACTAAAGCCACCTGCTTCTTCTGAGAGTTTTACACTTCACTGTGATTGGTTGGATCTACCTGTCACTCACTCAGAGCATGACAGAGGCTGACAAACAGGAGGAATGGGTGGGAAAAAAAAGCTCAGAACAAAACAAAAGAGCATTTATCAGTGTCCCCATTACACACACATTATCTTTGCTCTAAGTATTGTATTGCATTGAACTTGATAAGCTAAAGTGGATGTGTGTTCTTGTTTTAGTGTTAAGGACATTGAAAGTGTGCCATAAAATGGAACACAAACATTGAGCATAACAAGGAAGGATTTGAAAAGGACATGAAAGTGAATTTACAAATAAACAACTGCAAAACAAGCAACACGTACATCTAATGTGAATTTTGACTTACTCGTGTTTTTGGAAAAATGCTTTTGTTATGGTATTAACAACGAAGTGTAAGTTCACATATTTTTATTATTCAATACTCAACAGCTCCTCACTAGTAGAAAAGGAACACATGGTAAATACATTTTACCATGTATACCACCTGTATTTTTACTATACAGTATTTATTGTGACAGACCTAACTCTTGGTAAAGCTAACTAAAACCATTCTATTTTAATACTTCTGATGGTCCACTTATTTTTAAGGTTGAGAGAACAGTATAATTGTACTATGTTTCTTGTCTTCTCTCATTACCACTTGCTACCAGTAGAATAAAATTATTCCTCACCCTATGTAATCCAATTACACAACTTTCACTCACTTAGTTTGTGCTTGAGCAGGTGTTGGGTTACTATGGGAAACGGGTTACTTCCTCTTTGTGGTTTGGTGAATCAAACAAAACAGACAATGCCCTTTTTAATGTGCCTCAAATTTCAGATATTCAAAACTTACATAAATCCCCTGCCCTTTGCCTATTACAATACCACAGTGATCCCATGAACCAAAGATGAGATAGCCTGATATTCTAGGGAGGAAGAGTGAAAGAGAGGGAAAAAATGTGGGCGGAAGAAGGCTAGAGAATGAGACACAGACAGATCACATTGAAGGAGGAGAGAGAGCATGAAGTTACCGCGTTGTTTGTGCGTTCTTTGTTTGTTGTAATGACCCGCCATAGATGAGGCAGGGAGGGGAGGAGGAGGGGGCCTTTTCAAATACTTTATAAAGCCTGAGCAGTTGCTATGGGCACAGGGCACAAGCCTGGCTCAGATTCACCACTCAAACTTGGATAATGTCCCACAGGCAAGAAGTTGTTTGGATTGGCATGTTAGACAAGGAAAGACAAACTAGGTGAAGGATATTAGCTTTTTTAAGTGGGGTGGTTGCAGCTGTTGACCTTGCAGTGTTTTGTTTTGATGGTTTTGTTTTGGTTGTGTTCTCGACAGCATTAGAAATTGGTTTAAACGTTTCTCTCAAGTACAGTTTTTTCCAAATTATATTTTTGGAAGTAATAGTAAGAGGTGTGGGTAGAGTAGCCAAAAAATGTACTACTACTAGTACAAAGTAGTGTTCCAAGAAATTAATCAAAAGCACAGAAGTATTTGGGGAAACTACTATTCAAGTAAAAGTAATTTGAAGAGTAACTGTCATGACATAACATGTAATTTATTATTTGAAGTTAATGTAATCTGAAGGACAAAACCTTAAATCATGCACAAAAACTGGTATTTACAATACAAACTACATTATATCTGAAGGAGAGGTGCAAGAATCATAAATGTTCAAATCATTTATTACTGAAAGCATGAAGCTTTTGTCATTTATAGTCATTGTAATCTGAGTATTACCCACCTCTGAAAGTAGTGCAAATTGTTTAAAATGTGTTTATTGTGGTAAAGTACTGTAATATATCTTGTAGTTGTAGAAGGAGTAGTAAGAGAAGTAAGAGAAGTAAGAGAAGTAAGAGAAGTAAGAGAAGTAAGAGTAGTAAGAGAAGTAAGTAAGAGAAGTAGTAAGAGTAGTAAGAGTAGTAAGAGTAGTAAGAGTAGTAAGAGTAGTAAGAGTAGTAAGAGTAGTAAGTAAGAGTAGTAAGAGTAGTAAGAGTAGTAAGAGTAGTAAGAGTAGTAAGAGTAGTAAGAGAAGTAAGAGAAGTAAGAGTAGTAAGAGTAGTAAGAGTAGCATATTCATAGCATAGCTTCGTTTTGAGAACACAAAACTAATCAATGTGTACAGGAATATTTTAGTCAAATACAGCCCTACAGGATTGCCTGTAGAAGTATTCATACTCTGAATGATCTAATTAATATCATATTTTGAATATTTTGTTATATAGCAAAAGTTTAACTCTCTTCTACACAAGCTTGATTCTCTTCTACGGTACCTCCTACTGCCAGTAATGTTATTGGACAAAATTTATCCACTCCTTTCTTTACAAGCCTCAAGAGACACAGAGAGATCATTTTATTTGTTCCAGATTCTGTGCCGTTCTTTGACCCTGGAGGCGTTATCCACTATGAATAAACTTATTGGCTTAGACCGGGGGACGCCTCTGCACCAGTAACCAATCAGAAAGAGACATTTTTTTGTCAATCTCAGAACTGCAGTGCTGACCAAATAAACCAAATAAACACGCCACGTATTTGAATTTGAAGTTATAACATTCTGCTTTGTCACGCTGATGCGTCTTTGCTTGCATGTTGGCTGCATTTCTGTTTTCCCACTACGTCCCAGATAATCTTTCTTAAATAACCTGTCCTGAGAGATTACATGACAGAGATTCAATATTGAGTAACAGTACGTCCATTTTAAATGAGCACTCAAGACTGTAATTGCAGTCTCTATACTTCCTCTTGTTTGATTCTGGTTTCTGTGCAGCAAGGTTATGAGTGAAGATAAGATTAAGTTTGCACAATGTTTTGTAACATTTGTGTACACTATGTAAACATATGACCCCTAATTGCATGTTTGGCAGAAAGAAAATTTATAAATTAAGTAATACAAATATCAGTATTAGTTGTATATGTGGCTTTTAGTGCAATTCAAATACAGGTGTGAGATAAGAATGAATACCTAAATATATATTTTTGCAGAAAATTCCAAAAATCTACTTTTATTTAAATCTAGTTTTTAGAATGGGTCAAATTTCCATATCGGACAAGTGTACCTTAATCTGACCTTAACCTCATTACATTTAGTTTGATTCCTTAAAATGCCTCAGTGTTTTGTTTTTGTTTTTTGCATTCATTCTAACAACAATTTCAAGTTCAAGTTCAATGCAATTTTGTCAACTTTCAACAATAAGATCTTAAAATGACTGTACCATTTACATTGTTAAATCATTGTTAACAAGCTCCTTGAGTTTTACGTGTAGACAGGTTTATGGTACGGACCACAGAACAGTCGAGGGATATTGTGTCATAGCTGATGTAAGGTCTCGTTCTGTGTCGTTTGGGAACAGCTGTTTTAGAGGCAACAGGTGGAACATGATCCAATATAATATGCAGATGGATATGGTTTCCTCTGGCAAAGAGGGGTTTTTGCTGGCATTTGTTTATTTACTCAATGAAATATATTACAGCATTATATAGCATCAAACTTCTTGTATGTTTTGCACCCAAATTTGTTATTGCCAAATTGTGCAAATAGTTCTCCCTCTCATAGCTTACTCAGAGTAGTATTTCTTCAGAGTCTGCATGTTTGAATAATCCTGTATTTATATTGTCCTGCATTTGTGGGTAGGAGTGCTCAGAAAATACATGTTTTCGCTGTGCCACATATCTCCACCTACTTCTTAGTACTTGTATGTTATGTACCTTCCGTGTCATAAACATATGATTCATAGATGTTATGAAACTATTTTCCAACACATAAAAAAAGCATAATAAAATCAAACATTATCTTCCATATTTCAAGACTTTAGAGAAAATGAATACTTGAAACCCCACTGTGTAAAATTTCAGCTAAAAAACAAGACTCCAGTAAAAACAAGTTTGAACCTCCCCCTGCCTCAGATGCATGGTTTTGTGCTGCTTAGATAACCCAGTTTGTTCAGTCCATCCAAGCAAGAGCACTGTGTAAAGTCCTGACCCGGCTGTGTGCTCTGCAGCTGCTGAGGTCAAGACCCCAAAAGTGTAAACAGAGTAGACATGTTTTTTTTTTTTGTTCTTGTCCATTACGGCGTAATGGGGCGCCAGTAACTCAAGTGTCAAATACGTTCTTTGGCCTTGACAGTCATATAACCAGAAGAGATGGAAGTAACAAAGCATTTAATTCAATGTATTAATGTACTGTTTTTTAAATTATTATTATTATTAATATTTTATTACTGTCATTTTACACTTAGTAATTTTTTAAATAATTATTTATTAATTATTAAAATGTTTTAAATTGTCTCCCCTATTGGCCCTCTTCTATTGTTACCAATAGAGCCCCAACTTTAAAACAGTACATGTATTTAGTAGATTATAGTGATTGCAATTTTATTTGTTGTTACCTTTCTATCTTTTTTTCTTGTTGTAGTAACTTTTATTTTTTGGTCTTAACTGGATAATTGTTTGTACTCCTTCCAACTCATGAATCTGTTCCAAGTATACATAAAACAATGAACCTGCTCCTATGCTAACTACTTTTATGCTAACTTGTGTCTCTTTTTGCAGGGTATCGAGAAGCCGTTTGCTGAGGTCATCAAGGCCAACATTGGTGACGCACATGCTATGGGCCAGCAGCCAATCACCTTCTTCAGACAGGTCAGGGAGTCCTAATGTATGCCCCCTCTGCTGTAGATCCAAAAATACTACCTTCACTTAGGTAATCTCTTGAATATATATGTAACAGGTGTTCTTTACCTCACATACTGCAAGTTAGTGCAACACGCAGCCAGAATTATTCATACTGGTGTTGTCACAGTACTATCATTTCTATAAAATTTTTTTACTCCATTTCTATAAAAAGGTTTTGTTTTTGTTTTTTGGACACCCCCAATTCTCTTACAGCAAATGTGTAAAAAGTAAAATAACTAAAAATAAAAAGCAATATTCCTACATCACTTTTTTCCACCTCCCCCCAAAAAACAATACTTTTATTTCCCTGTTTCTTTGGCATTTGTCAGATTTCTTTTATGTTTTTGTCTCCAGGTTCTGGCTCTTTGCTCTTACCCTGAACTCCTCAACGACAACACATTCCCTGACGATGCTAAGAACCGAGCCCGGCGCATCCTGCAGTCGTGTGGAGGCTCCAGTTTGGGTCAGTATTTGTTCTGAGCTTCAGTGTGTTATAATTATCACCTCCAGGCTCTTCATTAAGTTCTACACATGGTATCATTATAGCGCGACATTGAAAACTGGAAACATATTTTTAGAGCTCGGAATTACAGGGTACCTCATAATTCGATGTGATATACTGTACGTGACTCACAGTACCAGCAATATTACAATAGTGCAATAATACCGTGATAACACATACAAATAAATACATTTATAAATCCTTCACCTACACCAGGGGGCTTCAACCTGTAGCTCTGGAGGTACCAGTAGTTCTCCATCCCCTTCCAAGTAATTCGCCAAAGGATTTCACAATTTTGTGTATTGTAGATAATAAGTAAAATTTTGTTAATTACCATTGTAAATGTATCATTTTGATGCCTAACTTGGGTACCGATAAATGGATAATGGTTTATGTTTTGTAGCATCTAACTGTTCCCTATCTAAGGCTTGCCATGGCTCTTATATTCACTCAGTTTCTTTGCGACTGGTGAAAGAGGTTGACTTTGATTCTCACTGGAGAAAAAAGGTTGGAGACCCTTGACCTACAGTGTTTTATGATATTCTATACTTAAAAAAATCTGAATATTATTTGCCGTACGTGACGTCACAATTTTTCTTTTGTACAAATATGTAACAAAATGCTTCCACAATGCAGTTTTGGAAAATTGTCACATTTTGATTGATATTATTGTTGACAAGACGTCTTTCTGTTTTTGAGGACTTTGGCCCTTTCAAAGGATTGTGATATGGATTGTGATTTGGATGGCAACAGTCCTCACTTGAAACTTAACAATCAAATACAGTGTGTCACAATATATTGGAATATATCTTATATTAATGCACTACTCTTGTTTCTGTGCAGGTGCGTACAGTCCCAGTCAGGGCATAGAGTCGGTGCGACAGGACGTGGCCAACTACATCGAGCGACGAGACGGAGGCGTGCCCTGTGACCCCGAGAACATTTACCTCACCACAGGAGCCAGCGACGGCATCGTGGTACACACCTCATTCAATATTATGTATAATGTATACTATTAAATACACAGTGTACCTTGCATTAGCATAAATACACTATTCATACACTACACCAATTGAAACGAGCACAAACGACAGTGCTGTTGATTATATGTATATAATATCTGTTGTGAACTTGTCCCTATGCACATTTATAAATGATCTGATGTGCCACATTTATAAAATATTATACCAGGTTTGTCATTATATGGATTTTCCTTTTGGACAATTGAAAATATTATGTAGTCGATAGTATGGGATTAATAAAATCTAAAACACCAATTAATAATTAAAAACTTAAGGTGCAATGTGGCGTAAGTGTTGCACATTATGGCATTAACCTTTGTATATCTTGCATTCATTCAGTTTTAGTTGTTTACTGATTATTATTATTGCTAAATACCATGAAAAGAGTGTGAGCTGCTTATCTGCCTGGAGATGTAGGTTTAATGCCGTTCTGTAGAACATTCCAGGCAAAGTAATGACAAAAGTCAAGAAGATAGTGTGCACTCCACTGGTATAGTTAGAGCATTTTTGAATATTCAAAGCATCTTGGTTGAGTGTAAAGTCTGTGTGATGTGCATTGTATTTCTCTTTGTCAGACCATGCTGAAGCTGCTGGTGTGTGGCCAGGGTATAGACCGCACTGGGGTGATGATATCCATACCCCAGTACCCACTGTATTCGGCTGCCCTGGCAGAGCTGGGTGCCGTGCAGATCAACTATTACCTGAACGAGGAAAACTGCTGGAGTATGGACATCAATGAGCTGCAGAGGGCTGTGAACGAAGCACGACAGCACTGTCACCCACGCGCCCTTTGCATCATCAACCCAGGAAACCCCACTGGTACTACTGCCATTATTATGAAACTATGTCCACATATACATGGTGTGCAGACAGAAATTATGACATTTGATTGCTTGTGTAAAGTTCTATATCTATAGTAGTGGTAGTTGTAACTAAAGTCACTGAAGTTATGCATTTTTGTTATTTAGGGTAAAATAATACCTGCAATTTGTGCTTAAAGCTGAATGACCCAACTTTTCTCCATAAATGAGTACACTGCTTTTTCCGTCTAAAAAATTAATTCCAAAAGCCAAGCTGTACAACAAAAATCAGACCACTATGGAAGAGAGTTGATTGTCCTGGTGGATGCTTAATTTTTCCATCTAAAAAAGCTGTTCTAAATCCATCCTAGTGGCCATAAAATGCATGGATATGAACCCTAGCGATGTGCCAAAGAGTTTGTGAAAGATAGAAACTACTAGATTTATATTTATTTTCTCTTTTCATGATTTTCGAGACTTTACATGTATTATACTTTCTTTTAAGTAATAATTATGTTTAGTACCTTTTGCTTTCATTTATTTATCTTAGTGCTTATTCTATAAGCGTTGCGTGTTGTTCCACATGCTCCTACATTGCCCTTTTAATCTTCTTTGTTAACAAGCCACTTAGTGCTAATCCACATGACTGCAGTAGTTTTTGTTTTTATGTCCTTGTTTTATTGGCATACATCATACATTACTCAGAAGAAACACTAGAGGGCAGCATAGCATTACCATCTTTTTCTGTCTTGGACAGGTCAAGTTCAGAGCAGACAGTGTATCGAAGATGTCATTCGATTTGCTGCAAAGGAGCGTCTCTTCCTGATGGCAGATGAGGTATTGTCTTTGTACTGTACTCTTTAACTAAATCTCCACAGTTATTTTTCTATGATCTTACCATGTTTTCATTGGGAAATTGTTTCAGGTGTATCAGGATAACGTGTACGCAGAGGGCTGTCAGTTTCACTCATTTAAGAAGGTTTTGTTTGAGATGGGACCGGAGTATTCTGAAACTGTTGAACTGGCCTCGTTCCACTCCACCTCCAAGTGTTATATGGGAGAGTAAGTCTTCCAAATTATTCAGAAAAAAAAGTTCTCAATAAATAAGGTCATATACATCAACATAAAAATTATTTCCATTAATATTTCAGCTTGTGTATGTTTTTGTAAAAGTACACCATTGTTGCTCTCAGGTGTGGTTTCCGTGGCGGCTACATGGAGGTGATAAACATGGACGATGACGTGAAGTTCCAGCTGACCAAACTGGTGTCTGTGCGCCTCTGTGCTCCAGTCCCAGGACAAGCCCTCATGGACCTCGTGGTCAACCCCCCTCAGCCTGGAGAGCCCTCCTACAACAGCTTTATCAAGGTACGCATTTATACAAATTGTTTTAGTGTGATCATTTTATTGTGATATGTCCATCCATCTGTTTTCTTCTGCTTAACTGGGGCTGTGCCGCGAGGGCAGCAGTCTAAGCAGGGACTCCCAGACTCTCCTCACCCCAGACACTTCCTCCAGCTCATTATTTTGATATGTTTCGACTGCAAGTTTATTTATTTGTTTAAAAAAATCACAACAGTTTGAAATATGTATCACTTTGTTTTATATAGGTACATCTGGCTAATCCAAGAATGAATATTATTCAAATATGCCAAACAAAAACATAGTGTCAAGTCCCAATTAGCAGAAATAAAGCATGAACAAATACTTAATTCAGGATTAACAAATGGTTTAGATTAGAATGATTCAAGCTTAGTAACTACTTAATTAAAGGGTTAGGGGTAGGAGTCAGTGTTAGAGTATTATTTCTGTAGTTACTGAACCTGAATCATTCTAAGTTAAATATTTGTTCATTATGAAGTAAGTATTTCTTCATACATTATTAAGACCAATTTCAGGCCATTTGTTGTTATTATAGAGTGTCATATCTATGTCTGTCTTAGGATATCCTTGTTCTGTGATTTTTGATTGATGGTAATTCAAGTGTATGTATTTTTAGTAGATCTTTTTTTTTTTTTTTTTTGCAAATTACATTAGAAACAAATGTAGAAATGTGGACATATTTATTTAAAATTTACAAGCTCTCAAATTTAGTCAAAACTGTCTTTTCATTACTTTGCCAACATTAAAAGAGCAGAACATTTAACAGATGGAGGCTGCATATGATACGAGTGTAAAAAAGCATGTAAAATTTCACTGGTTATAGTAAAAGTCCTAGTGGAAGTCTTTAAATGTGGTTATAGATTTATTTTAATACAACACATTGGCTACTGTAGTAAAATCAAACGCAACACATCTCAGACCCTCTATCACAAAGAGAAAATCGATCCATTCTTTTCTATGTGCTAGTCCCATGCCTTGATAAATGATCCTGACGAGAAGGGCATCCCACACAAATCCTATTCCATTATCCATGCTTGAAGTGAACAATTTTCTGATGGAACTGTAGAAAGAAATATTGGAAAGATATTTGACTTGTACCAAATAATGCCCTTACCAAGCAGGATGTGAAATACTGTAAACCATAACAAGATTGTGAAAGATATTTATGCAGGTTTTGAATCAGTTGATAATGTTGATTACCTAGCATACCCTCAAAACAACTACTGCAATATGTGTTTTTTTTATCTAATATTTCTTCCCTGCTGTTAGATTTCGGAAACATTGCTTTTTATTATTGTATTAACTATTATTTATACACATTTTCCTGTACTCCTGTTTTCATTTGCTCCAGGAACGCACAGCTACATTAAATGCCTTAGCGGACAAGGCCAAGCTCACTGAAAAGATTCTAAACACTGTACCTGGAATCAGATGTAATCCAGTTCAAGGAGCCATGTACTCATTCCCGCGCATCACCATCCCTCAGAAGGCCATTCAAGAGGCCCTGGTACGTCTCTCATTCATTTGCATTGTCCTTGGATTGGTCTGAAGCAGCAGCAGCAGAGATAAATAAATACTTCTGCTAAAATAAGCTTTTATGCAAGTCTGTTTTCATGATAAAATTGGGTTGATTATTGTTGCTACACATAGGAGTTCGAATTTTGTTCCCATAATGGAGGTTTTGCAAAATGACAGCAAACTAGTTCATAATGATTATTTTTCAAGGTGGAAGAAAAACAAACTTCTTCCACTGTTAGATAATTTTTTATATATATATATTTTTTTTATATTTCTATGTCCCATTCAGTTAGCCCTGCTGTATAAACACTATATTGCCGTGTATTTAAGTGAGTAATTAATTTCCAGTGATGTAGAATGTGAATAATCTGCCGCCAGACTTGTGCGTTATGCAAACCTAACACATGGCAATAAGCAGAGAAACTCCCACTGACCGTCTTATAAAATCACTTTTTGCATGATTGTGTAAACATACGAACATATTTTACTGTATTCATAAAAAAACTAGTGTGATGCACTGATGACCAACTGGGAATGACACATGGACACACACAGACGGGGCCAATGCAGGAAAAAAAAACGTTGGTGCCAAATCTCAGCTAAATGTCGATGTCACAGATACAGGATTACACTGTACTTTGAAGCAGCCATATCTGAATTGTACTAGATTCAGCCCACTGCCCACGTTCCACTTTGTGCTCTCAGAGAACAAATGATTTTCTATAATATTCATATTGTAAGGTCATAGGAGCTGACCTGTCGTCTCCTGATCAATACCAGAAAGTCGTAGGTTAAGGACTAAGAAATGAGCTAGCACTAGTATTTAGAGGTTAGTTTCACTGCGGGCAGTACAGTGACTCAGTTTTAGCCTATTGAACTTGTTCTGAGAAATATACGACAAAGAATGAATCGGGATGTAAAAGCAAACGGAATGCACATTTTGTCTCAATAACAAAGAAAATATGTCACTTTTAAATCTAGCTAATAACGAGAAAAAGGAGAAATTGTTCACAAATGTAACACAGTTCTTTATTTTATAGTTATAGAAGTTGGAAAACTTTGTTTTGGTCTTTTTGGCTTTTTCTCCTTTTGTAAATGTGTTCTTTGGCTTACAGGCAGGCCAGAAATCTTCTTTGTATGAATTTATTTTAATATTGGATCTGGGGAAATGAAGGATCTAAAACTTTTTTTTTTTTTCACAGTTATAACAAAACACCCAGTGTCAAAACAAAACAGAAACATGCAATTACTAATCATCACATATCTGTGTTCTTTATGAAGACTCACAATCAGATTAGACTGGATAAAAGATACTATACTATATATACTGCAATACTATGAATCATAATTCAAATCAATCGTCTTAAAGCCACTGAATTCCAAAGTTACCCCACTATTTAGAGCACAAGCAATAGCTTTCTTAATGATATGGGCTAGGCAAGAGGCAAAAAAATATATATTTTGTCTTATTAAAAATAAAGAAATGACTTTCAGTAATAATTTCTTGAACATAGACAATACAGACTTTTAATCTTTGCCATTTAACTCACAACAAGATGGTCAAATTTCTTCCTCTGAAGTCTGAACTTTACTCCAAATAGCATTCTTTTACTGACAAAGAATTGGCTGTAGACCTCTCGATTAAACATTTGCAATCATATCATAGACAATTATAATGACTTAATCTTAATTCCAATAAGAAATGGATTAATCACACCACCCTTAAGCCTGTGTTTTATTGTGTTTGCAGGAGAAAGGCCAGCAGCCGGACATGTTTTATTGTATGAAGATGTTGGAGGAGACCGGCATCTGCCTCGTACCAGGAAGTGGCTTTGGACAGAAGGAGGGCACGTACCACTTCAGGTGAGCAACACAAAGTCAAGACATACTTCAAGCTAAGTGTAGTTTAAGATAGCTTTTAGGAGAAGAAAAAAGGTTTAGGTGTTTGTATCTCATTTTAAATCCTCTAATGCTATCTCATGCTATCCTCCACAAGGAATTTCAATTAATATATATTCATAAAAATAATACAAAGTTTTGATCCTTTTTCGTAGTAATGAACAAATCTATTGAGAAATCCAGTGTGTGAAAATATTACATAATGTTGTTTTAACTACTAATTTGACTATTTTTAGAACTGTGAATTGTTATCCAGATAATACAGGCTCTAAAACATGCCAAAAGTTGTTTTATCACATCGTTCAATCAAAAATGTCAAGAATTAACTATTTTCTATCAATAATACATATTCATAAGTATTCTCCATTTATACACACCCCTGAATTTACTGTAGGAGGAATAATTTCACTAATTAAAATATAATAGCTGTCCAGTTGACTACTAAAATAATCATTAGTCGCAGCCCTGATATTTTTAGTGTGTTGGTCTGGTAAGAATGATCCTGTTCACTTAATTACATTTCCATGTGTCCAGAATGACCATCCTGCCGCCAATAGACAAGCTCACGATTCTGCTCAACAAAGTGAAGGAGTTCCACCAGAAATTCACACAGCAGTACTCCTAAGACCCAAATCCTCTCCTTCTCTTCCTCTTCCTCTTCTTCTTCATTAAAACCACCACCACAGGACCAGCCAGACCTCTCCTCAGCCACGTGTCACTAAACTCAAAGTGCCTTCCTCTGGCCCTGGTGTCGACACACAGCAGCCTGTGCAGTTTAACCTATGGAACATTCAAAGACATTTATACAATTTACATGGAGACAATATTGTCCTGGACACAAAAACTGAGAAAGTATTGGAAAAAAAGACTAAACTGACTGGATTTCTCCTGTTTGCTGTCCTGATGATCTGAAAGATGCATGTGCTGTGCTAAGTGTAAGTATAAAAGATATGTGTCCAAGTAAATGTGAAATTTTAAAAGCTAAGAAGAGATACTGAAATGAAGCTTGCTCATTAAAGGTGGACTATGTAATATTTCTGGTGGATGGTCTGCCACCTGTTTGTCTCCATGGAATCAAATCTGAAGACTTGAGACACAATGGACCTTGCACCACAAAAGTTACATAGTGCACCTTGAAGTACTCCAAGACATTTTGAGGGCTGATGAATCTTCTAGCTCTTATTTCATTTGATATTAACTTGCACTTGTGAAAGACTAGACCTCAACTGAATTTTTGGACTTGAACTTGGACATTTTGTATCTTAAATCTCTTCTCAGTGTTGTAGTTCACTGATGATGGTTAATCTATTAGAAGTTGGATGTTGAGTTAATTTAAACTCAATGTGGGGATTGAAAATTGAATGTTGTATTGTGGTATAGATTCAGATTCAGTGAGTTTTCCCCACCCACTTCTTGTATTGGTCAGTCTTTGTCATGCTCTGAATGAGTGACAGGCGGATTAACCAATCACAGCAAATGGTTAGTTACCACTTCAAGGCAGTATGAAGTTTCTATATTGTGATTTAGACAATTTCCTTTAGTCAGGTGGCCAGCCAAACCAACATATGAGACTATGTTGGAGATTTTATGCCAATAAGCTAAAAAGTCAAAATATCAGCCATATCTCTCTTGTCTACTCCTCAAAACGGTCTTGTACTTAACTACACAACAACTCATCACATATTTGGTCCTAAACTCCAGAAAACTGTACCTGGATTTCACTTGAATGCTCAGACCTGGGACCTCATTCACATGAATATGCATCCTTGTAAGACTACATGACATAAATTAGCCTATTGATTGACTTGCTGAAGACCTGATTTTATATTTAGTTTTGATTTGCACTTGGACTGCCAAAAAATGATTAAACTCAGACTATGTAAGAAACTGTTATCAGAAAACTGGTGACTTGTAAAGTATTAAGCTCAAAAGATGCATTGATTTGCATGGTTGAAAATGATTTTGTAGAAAAGAAAATGTAACACAGTTCTTTATTTTAAAGTTATAGAAATTGGAGACATTTGTTTTGATCTTTTGGGCTTTTCTCCTTTTGTAAATGTATGCTTTGCCTTACAGACAGGCCAGAAAATTTCTTTGTATGAAATTATTTTAATATTTTAATCTGGGGAAATGAAGGATGTAAAACTGTTTTTTTATGGTTATAACAAAATACCCAGTGCCAAAACAAAGTAGAAACATGCAATTACTAATCATCACATGTCTGTATTCTTTATGAAGAATAGATTTCAATTGTTTTGCGATTTTAGTTATTTTTACTGCCAATAGTCATGCTCAGGTTAAGTCATTCTCACGTCCAACCACATTTCAAGTTTTGTTGTATGACTTTGTGTAGTTACTATACATTGTATTCACTTTTTGCTAATGATCATTTCAGTTGCCATTAACAATTTTCTGTAATAAACACTATAACTGGCTAGTGCTGCTTCCTTACTTACAATTCATTACACTCCGAGCTGATGTGTTGCCCAACAGTTTTTGGGCAGGAAATGTAATTTTAAAACATGTGCTTTGCCTGGAATGTTCCCCCATATGGCATTAAACTCATCTATCTTGCTTTTATTAGATTACACATGTTTTATTGCTTGTTAAACACCTGCAAAACATGCATTCTTACTGTAAGAAGGCTCGCATCTTGATCGGTGCATCGCCGGTCAATGTCCTTGGAGAGAGAAAGGATTAATGCCATAATGTGGAATATTCCAGGCAAAGCTATCAATTATTAATCACATTCTACTCTTTTTTTATATAACTCTCCTCTTTAGTCAGTCCATAGTCCTCCTGTCTGTCAACCAGCCTTTTCCTGAGCACGTCCAACGCCCAAAACCACTAGGACCTGCTCATCAAATATTATTATGATCAATGTGTTTCTTAATCTAGTAGGCCTAAGTTGTTATTATTAGAGAAAGATTAAAGACTTTGTCTAATATAGCTATAATTCTGTAAGACCCCAGAGTGAACTCCATCTTTGCATCTTCAGCTGATTACAGAGGAAGAACTGAATGTCCTTTTGAGTATTTAAACATTAGACATAAGCATCGGCCTAAATGTCATTATAGATAAGATAAAATGATTCTATTAAAATGACATGTGCCACAAAATACTGAGAAATACTGCATCTATAGTTGTGTAGGCTATACTCTCTTCTTAGGCTACTTTTAATTTCACCTGCCCTGTCTTCTCTGCTTATACTTGTCCACGTCTGGTCCTATCGTGTAGCCTGGAGCGCAGGACGTTCAAAATTGTCAGCTTCGATAATGATCACGCCCGTCTCATAAACTCCGATACTTGTAAACGCCACAACTGCTTTTGTCATCTCTATTAATCTGTCATCCGTATTATTGCCTTGTAAGCGCTTTGAGAAGCCAGCAGGGGTGATGGATGGTGCGCGCTCTTCTTCCGTGCGTAAGAAAGTGATTGAACTATATCCGGAGTTTAAAGTTTGAAGTGAGGGGGTTTCTTGCTAGCTCTCTTCCTCTCGTCTCCACAGTGGCTGTCAAGTTTAATTATCTCGAACTAAGGCCCTCCTGAATCCTAATTACACCGAGCTTTGTCTCCTCTCTTCCCGGATAACCCTCGCAGTTCAGTCCGGCTGCGACGTGACGGGTCTGGGCGCGCACGTCTCTCCTCTTCTCCGAACGTAAATTAATTGGCCGCCGTCTCCATCCGCGGACATCTTTTGGGACTCAAAGGTCATCGTTAGTTCGGGAAAGGATTGTAGGGCGATGGGAGATGGTCAGGCTTCAGACGTGTGCGCTGTCATGTGGGATGTGTCAGTATAGTGACAGTGGCGAGTCATATAGTCTAATAAATCCACTATTGTAGTTTATACTTTACAACAATCTCATTAAAACCCATTGGCGTTTGAGCATTGACAATTATACAATTCAATATCCGCACTCCGCACTGTGCATTAGATTCCATTTGTGTTCTCGCTTTAATTCAAGCAATTAAATACAAAATGTCACAAAAATTGGTCAATTTCTTAATTATTCTGTTACTTTTGTGCTCAAGTAAACTTGAAGTTAAATAAATAAAATCATATAAAGTTTTCATTTAGCCTACAAAATCAATGTAATTATCAAAACCTCCAGGGAAACAGTATGTTTTTTTTTCTGTTTGTCTCCATTGAGATGCTTTGATTCTACAGTTTGACCTAAAGAATATATCTTCATTGAGACAAGCAGAAGACGCTTTCAGGCAAAGTCAAAGTTCAGATCTGTGGAGAGGTGAGCACACTCTTTGTAATTTTTTCATATGCAATTTTTTCAACTGTAATTACACGCCATATGATGGAATACTTCAGGCCAAACAAGAGCATCTTCATGAAGACAAGCAGACAGCAGATTTTCTACCAATGAAGTTATAAGTCTAGCACATATTTAAAGAAACTAAGGTTTTCATTTTACTTTTCTGTGTCCCGAGATACAAAATAAACATGTTCAATTAATGATAGCTGAGAACAATTGTAATGCTGATTTATGTTTTAATTACAAAAAACTCAGTGTCCCATCTATTTATGTTATAATTTGACATTTTGGTTAGGGTTAGGTCAATAAACTAAATAAACTAAAGTTGATGAAAAGAGATGTGGAGCATTTCCCATCTTTGCCTTAATAATAATTTCTAATAGCACAATTCAGCTGCAGTTTCAAAAACAAGTGAGTTAAAGGTTCACTTTGTAGTGGAGGGTCTGCCACCTGCTTGTCTCCATGAAATGTTATTGCTGTGTCTAGGACAGGGGTCTCCAACCTGTAGCTCGGGAGCTATCAGTAGCTCTCCACCTCCATCCAGGTAGCTCGCCAAAGGATCTCTGAATTGCACCTTTTGTGCTGAATAAGTAAAATCTGATTATTTAAATGCCTATTACCATTGTACATGTATCATTTTGATTCCTAACTTTGTACACTAATAAATGGATAATGGTTTATGTTTTATAGGCATCTAACTGTACCTCATCTAAGGCTTGCCATGGCTCTTATGTGTACTCAGTTTCTTGTGACTAGTAACTCTCTGGCATTTTCATTTTGTCCAGGTAGCTCTCTGGAGAAAAAAGGTTTTAGACCCCTGGTCTTGAATGTTCCACAGTATAGATTAAATCTATCTGTCATGAGGGAGACAAACAGGTTACAGCACTACACTACATTACAATTCAGATCTGTGGAGATTCTCCCCTGTTCACAGAAGGAATTATTGTATTTAAGCAATAGAAACACTTATATCTTTGGTCTATTGCATCTGCCCTAATCTCAACATTTTAACATTTGTAGTATCATTTTTTTCCCTTCTTGTCCAAAATCCCAAACCTTATTTTTGATATGTCATTGACTGATTGACTGATCCATTATTAATCATGTCACTCCCAAAGCATCTCATTTCCATTTTCGCCAAATGTCAGTCAATGTCAAATTATGTAGCACCTTAAATAAAACAATGTCCTAGAATGTTGCATGGAGCCATTCACATTGCATTCCATACATCAACTGCAGTACCCCCCACTTAGCCCATAGCCTATATTACCTGTGATTCACACACATTACATTGCTAAGTGCTGTTGCATTATGGGTCTTATGGGTCACTGCAGCCTCAATCAACATCTGAATTGTTCCTTTGTGGAAGTGGTAGTTTCCAAAGCTGAACCACAATCAACAAAATGAACCAAATTACTGCTCTTAGAGTTGTGTAGCTTTTGATTGGCATAATGTGTTCATAGAGGCAATTTTGACATTTTACATATAAACATTTGAACTGCTTAATTATAATAATTGGAAACTGTTTTGGTAAGAGTGTACATTTTATGGTTTTATCTTTTTTTGTTTGTTTGTTAGTTTGTTTTGTTTTTGTTTGATACAATATTCATTCATTCACTTTCTGTTCATAGTATTCCCACATGCTGTCACAGGTTACTACAGTCTTTGCCAACTAAAGGTATGTATTGACAAAGGGTATAAGCACACACTGAAAAATAATTATAATTCATTTACGAATGGCAGTTGTTAAATATTTGATCTATAAATATTAGTATGTTCTATTAACATAAAATATTCAAATAGAAAAATCCAACAATTTCCATTTGCACTTTATTACTTTGCCTCAAATATTCCACATTTTGGCTTTAAACTAATCTATGTTGCATTTTTATATTACAAGATCTGACTTTTGACTTGACATATACTATGCATACTAGAACTGGGTATCATTAAGAAGTTGCCAATACGATACATATCTTGATACAGTGCACTTTCGATTTGATACGATATATTTCAAATCGATTTGATACGGTTCAATAAAAAATAATGGCTAAATCATGGCTGTGATATTAAAAGTCTTTGTTAAACCACTTCTTATGCCATTCATATGAAACACAAACATTTTAATCATGAAAACTGTGAAAATGGGACTTTCCATGAATAAATTCAAATTTAGATTCAAATATGTTGCATAAACGAGTTTCATTCCATTAAACAAGCAACAAAACTGTAGCTCTGTAACAAAATAATTTTGTAATATACCAAAAGATACTCTTGGTGATATATTGATACAGCAACCCACGATATCGATACTGTATCATCACATTAAATGACACGGTGTATCGATATTTCAATATTTTTGTACATCCCTAATGTCTACTATTGCCATGATCTTATTGCTTTACCTGAAATGTTCCCAGTATGTAGCGACGGTCTCCAACAGAAAAAATACATAGTGCCTTTAATGAGATATTGAAGGTATTGTTTTAAGGTGGTATCATTTTAAGGTGGTAAGTGAAGTAATAAGTGCAGACTTATTCATACAAATGGGCCAAACAAAGGTGAACCACAGAGGAAGAGTAGCGGGGTGGGGTGAAGAAGCTCAGATTGGGTGATAAATCTTGTTCTGATCAGGTTTGTGCGCTCCCCTCTCACCTCACTCTCTTTCTCAGGGTAATTAATCAATGGCAGACTGGAGCTATCGATCTGCCTTGCGCGGACCCCGGTATGTTTACACTTCTCGATTGTGTTTGCCACTAAGCCCCTCGCCAACGCTCAATCTCATCGGCACAAAATGTGACACTCCGCCCTCTGATGCCATCACCGAGGCACTGCATCGACTGACATCTCCATGAAAATCAATCTACTTATTTATTTTTTTGTTCTCGTGGGGGATTTGCTTTGGTTATAATCCTTTGTTGTAATCCTATATTCCAGGTTGTAATGGATAAAACTTTGATTGTGGACAGAGCACTTCTAGAATGCAAAAGCAGGAATTTCCTCTTCTGGTGAAGAGCAACGTGTCATTGTTGGGGATAAACCACAAGTTCAAAAATGACCAGATCTCAGAACAGTTGGGAAGCGCACAGACCTCCAACAAGGCACTGCAAACAAGCCTCCAGGTTCAAACATGGCCACCATGAGTCAATGGGCCGATCTCAGTGATGCG